AAATGACTTTCAGTGGTGTCTCTGTCAGTCCATTGCTAATTTCATGCCTTTGATGCCCACATTTCTTTCCCGCACCAATATGTAAGTGAGGTCCATTTTCATGAATGTGAAAAATGAATACAGAAGTGATTCATGAAAAATTAAATGCATGCAGATGCTGGGAAAGTTTCTCCACACAGGTCTACCAATGCATTTCAATCTTGTCCTGAGTAATAATCTTATTTGCTACTGTACTCCATTTATACCAAGCAACAAAGAGTCCTGTGTCTGATGAAGTGGGTATTCACTCCAGTATGCTCCAATACGTCTGTTAGTCTATAAGGTGCCACAGGACTCTTTGTTGCTTTTTACAGATCCAGACTAACAACGGCTACCCCTCTGATACTTGACTCCATTTATACCAACATCCTCACTGAGGAAAATACTATTTTAACCTAAGTCCAAAGTTTCTAAAACAGAGCTGTTAATTTTAACATTATAGGTTTTGGCCCCGTGGAAAATGTATAAGACTTTATACAAGAATTCAATGTGGTAAAATAAAAGTGTCCCGTTACTCCATAGCAGAGCTAGGCAAAATATTTCAGGCTAACAGTTTATTTGCTGAAAAATACAATTTTGTGTTGACCAAAACTATTTGCTAATTCAACAACTATTTTCAGCCAAAAAACCGTGGAGAAAAGTATCAAAACAGTCAAATCATTTAGTTTTGACACATTTTTTAAATTTAGTTCAATTTAAGTCACTATGTTTTCAATGGTATTTCCAATGGAAATATTCCTTTATTATAAAAGGATTGGCGTCAATTGGAGAGAAAACATGTTCAAGCCTGGAGAGAATTAATAGTAGTAGTAAACTAACTGGCTCTCATTAAAGCTGCTGTTTTAACTCAACCATCAGTTCCTGAGAAGATGAACATGCAGGCAAACTACACGGGAATATGACGAGGCAGCGTCTGGCTCATCCTGAGCGGAGGCTGTGTTCTCATTTTGTCCATACCAAAAAAATTGGACTTTATTTTACTTTTCCCACTTCCCATGACTACGTAACAAGATTGAAAATTACATGTATTACTCTAGAGAACAGGCCTTTGTTAGTACAATATAATCTTAGATTGTAAGCTCTTTTGGAGTAGGGATGACTGTTTTCTTGTGTGCATTCATGAATATACATAGAGACAGTGCCAAGAACAATGGGCCCCAAATCCTTTACTAGGTCTGGAGGCATTACCACAATCCAAATGTTACTAATGATTACCCATATCATGCTTCCCCCTTTTTTAATGTTATTCAGACATGTAATGGAGCTCAGACATCTCTCTACACACAGCTGAAATATTCTGTATTTCACTGCCCAAGTGAAACACATGATTTTGGTTAGACAGGGTTAGTCCCTGGAGCTCCTTCTCGAGTTCTAAACTTAAGTTGTGTTGGGAAAGCAATAGGCTTGAAATCCCCACACCTCTTCCCTATGAATAATCAGGACCTGGAAATGTACGACTTACAGTGTAGCAGCAAATAGGTTACTCATAAAATGGTGCCGCTCTAAAGGTGCGGGTAAAGCAAACTCATGTAAACTGTGCTGGTTATCTTCCCAGATACGTTAAGTCACTTTTCATTATTGCATCAGCTCTACAGCTTGGTAAGTTGGGAGAGTTACCTTCTCCCAACAGCCCTCAAGGCCACTTCTGTTACAAGGCTCTGCTAAAAAGGATGTTTGATTTCTGCCTTGCTGGCACACTCAGAGATAAACATTCCAGTTACAGGACAGAGCCAGTGAGGTCACTGTTAGCATCACCACAATAGACGTCTTTTCTAGAAGCTTTCTAAGTAAGCTCTGAAGTACTGGACAACTTCTCTTGTCCCATTATTTTCCCTGTGAATTTGTCTTGTATGGCAATTGTTTCTATGAATGATGGATCTCCTAAGAGACTGTCCTTTCAAGAAAAAGACATAGTGGCCAATTTTCATTCCTAAATGGAAAATCAATAGGAATCAATGCTGTCAAATACAGCAGTAATTTCAGTCTGTCGATATGCATGATGGCATTGATTGGTTCATTATCTATTACTTAAAGAGGAAGAAATTCATACAACATTAAGAAACAAAGAGGGGTTAGAACATTCCTTTGGCTCACTGGACAGGCTTGCCAAGCATTCATAATTCATATTTGTTTAGTTAATATCCTTGGTCTACGTGCACTAATCTGTTCTAGTTCTGACCGCTAAAAAGGATGGGAAAGTAGGTTTATTCTAAAAGAACAATTTAAAAGATCGCATTAAAATGCAGTAGTATTCCGATTCCAAAGGTAAATACTGACTCTCTAGCTTCCCCCAATTAAACAATCATGAAGATGAGAGAGACTTTGCCAGCTGTACTGTTTTTAATGTTAATTTCCCTTCCCAATTCCTCACACATACAGTAAAAAATAAATATTCTTCAAACGTGCACAAAATGAAGAAAACTGAAGCCCACAAAATTATAAAGTTAGACATGCAAAATAATTTCAGTTATAAAAATGAAGTGTACATTCATGTTTCTCTATACACTCTGTCTTTAGAATCAGCCAGGTCTGTTCCACTTTCTCTGATCAGAATGTTAAGACCAATGACAATACTGGCCCTTAATCAAATCCCAAATCAGTCCTTGGAAACATATTAGACCCCATTGAGGGAACTGAAGAGGACATACAAAAGTTTCTGGTTGTCTAAACACAAGACAACCAGAAACTGGTGTGCTGGCTTCAACCTACTTCTGGTAAGTATTAACATATTAGAAATATGCATTGTACCCATGTCAGTCCCAGGATATTACAGAGAGGAGGTAATATCTTTTATTGGAACAACGTCTGTTGGTGAGAGAGAGACAAACTTTTGAGCTACACAGAGCTCTTCTTCAGATCTGGAAAACTTAGGGAAAGTCTACACTACAAAATGAAGGCAAGTCAACCTAAATTATGTTGAAGTACAGCCACTGCAGTAATTAAATCACTTTTGCATGTCCACACTACTCTTCTTGTGTTGGCGGTGCATGTCCTCACCAGGAGCCCTTGCACCGATTTAACTGTCACTGTGGGACGTTGTGGCACAGCTTCTGAAAGGCAGCAACAGTCGATGTAAGCAACGCAGTGACTACACTGACACTGCATCAACCTAACTACATTGGCCTAAGCTCTATGCCTCTCATGGAGGTGCAGTTATTGATGCCATATCTACACTTACCAGGGATCGATGCTGCTGTGATGTAGTGGGTGAGTAACATCAGTGGGAGCTACATTTTAGTGTAGTAAACACTTAGAGTTAGGTCAACGCAAGGTAGCTTATGTCAACCTAACTGTAGTGCAGACCAGGCCTTAATCAGAGTATCACAGTTAAATATAAGGTGGAACAGATTGTTTAGCATAAATAGTTAACCTTTCAATAGTCCCTTGAAATGCATGTTAACTATTTATGCTAAACAATCTGTTCCACCTTATATTTAACTGTGACACTCTGATTAAGTTTCCCAGACCTGAAGAAGAGCTCCTTGTAAGCTCAAAAGCTTGTGTCTCTCACCAAACAGAAGTTGGTTCAATTAAAGATATCTCATCCACCTTGTCTCTCTAATATCAGAATTAAGAGTCTGTGCAGCTCTCCTTCGTGGACTACTGGGGAGGTTGGGGGAAAGAGTATGCAGTGGGGAAATTGTACATCAGACACTTCCCAGAATTTATGGAAAATGAAGGAAACTGGATTTTACAGAAAATAGCAAGACTGCCAGTCATTAAACAAATATTCCCATTGCCTCCATCTTTCTGAGCAGGAACTTTCATTCCTAAACAAGAGGGGAGCTACTCTCACTATTTCACTCATTGCTGTAAGATATGCATCCAGTAATACTGAAATTCAAAGTATTAATATACTGCCATGTTTATGCTTTGCCAGTTAAATTAGTAACTTGCCAATCTGTTCAAGATTTATTCTTCTAGTTTTTGAATGTTTCTATTTATAAGTCAGTGACACTTGGAAATCATTTTTGCCAAATTTCTGGATATTACCAATGGCAGAGATCATTAGTTGCAAAGTTATACTTGAAATTTTTTTAGAAGTATTGGTTGTGCTTGTTTTTTGTACTTATTACAAAATTGAGCAAAAAATATCAAGCATGTAGTCCAGTATATGTGGTCAGAACACAGTGATCTACTGTTCTGTTAAGCACTGTATGAATTTTACTTTTCACAACTTTATTATAAACACATGGCAGGAATATGTAAAGTAGGAGAAGTAAAGTAGGGTCAAGAGAATCTGGCAACAGTTCTCACACAGAATGTTGATTGTGAAAGATGCTATATAAGTCACATCTACCTTTAGTGAGCAATAACATATTTTCCCTTAATAAAACACTATGGTGATCAGTAGATATAACCTGTACCCAGACTGACTTGAATTAATTGTGAGGTAAGATTATTCTCACTATTCCTTTTTTTCTTCCTCTCCAAACCAACCTTGTAATATATTTCCAAACACAAACCTCTTCCAAAACCTGAGGTAAAAAGAATAAGCTGTCTTTCCACAACTCTACTTCTTGGGACCAAACTGAAAAATCCATTCAGATTTTCAGAAGTTCCTGCTAGCTCAGTAAATCTGAGGGCTTTGGGGGCTTGCAAAGCTTAAAAGAGCATATGATTTTTAAAAAATAGAATCTGGCTCTAATTCAGCCAGTACATACTGAATCTCAGTAAATTTCTTGCTCCCCTTTTATGTTACCTCAATTTTGTCCTGTTCACTGGTTCTTAACTTTAAAATGTTATTTACCCATTTGCACACTTGAGAGAAAGAAAACTGAATTCCAAGGCTTCCTTGAAAGCTTCCAATATTTACAACTAAAATAAATTAGGTTTATTTTGAAGTTATTCTTCCAACGCCACCTAGGCTTCCAGTGCAGTGCTCGAAGTTGCATACCCATTTCATCCCTCTGCTCAAGAGTTTTCACACATGTTCCAGTCTGCAACTGCATTAACGAAAACAACAGATTGAGTCCAGCACAATCTTCTGCAACATGCATGCCCACTGTAGCATGGCAGGAAATCAGAGTATTACAACTTCTCCACAATCTGTTGCTCAATGTTTCTGGATTCTTAGGTCATTTACATATGAAAGAGTGAAACACTGGACGACCGACACACTACATTTTACTAGTAACTTCTAAAACATCCTGGATAAAGCAGAGTTTCCTATCTGAAAGAACACTATACACTGTCATCTTGGCTGGTATGAACTACAGCACAGGACAACTCAAAGCACTGACTTAGTATATGTTACACTCCCAGAAGTCTATATTGACTATAAAATTACTTGCTCATTAAAATAATTTTAGTAGGAAATTATAATAATTTTAATAGGAAAGTTATATTCAAACTTGTAAAACATTTACAATGTACAATCTTTACACAAAATAATACTCCATTTTAGACCTACAGAGATATGGACATACTTTTTACAGTTAACCTCATTAGTATCTGCAAAATCCTTCTTAAAAATAAATATTTTAACAAAAATGTCTTCTGATAAAAAGTAATACCACAGATCAACAGAATATTGAGCATGCCACTGAAATGCTACAACAAAGCCCCTTTCACTCTCCAATCTTGAGACAGCAAATCCTGCAATTCTCCTTCATCTTCACTACCAATATCCTCATCCTCTTTCTCCTGGGTTGCTCTTAATCTCATGGCTTCCTTAAATTTATCTTTCATTACATCCTGGCGGTTACGCAGCAGCTCAACACGGCGGTAACATTCACTGTAGAAAGGTAAAAACAGTTAGTTAACATTTATGGCCTTTGCCAATTAAAGGAACTGATTTTCCCACAATAATGGGAATGCATCTCCTTCTGTCAAAAAACCTGAAAGACATACAAACATTAAAATTCAAATAAGCCTTTCACAATAGACCCATATGATTATTTAACATTTGGCTGTAGTCCTGTGGAAGCAGAATGAAGAAGTGGAGTATCTTGGTCATAGCTTCTCTTACAAAGATGTCAAAACAAACAACAGATCAAATCTCAATCCTGTGACAATTTGATTCAAAAAATATCAACAATATGAAACCACTTGGTCAAATTCTGTAGAGAAGGAAAAAGCTCAAACCAGTCTTTTCAATTTTTGTCTAAGATGTTATTTCACCGGAGGTGGAAAGGGGAGCACATGGATTTTTATTGCTATCCATTAGGACACACAGAAGTAGTACATTTAAATGGAAGCCTGACAAGGTGTTGAAGCCCTGGCACTTCACCATCTTGAAGAACATGTGCTATAGTAAGCCTCTGAACTTGTGTTTGGCTGTCAGATTTTGTATTTGCTTTAAAGTGCAGTTTGACTCTGAAAAATAACTATGTAAAAATGATAACGCTTACTAGTGAACAGGATCTGTTCCTTGCAAATACCAAATTCTGCTTACTGGATTTCAATATGTTTTTTACTTCTTGTCACTCCTATTAGCCCTGCAGATTCAATACAGAGAAAAGAGCTTAAAGCTGGATCCTAATCATGGAGTCAAGCATTGAACACCATAATGTCATGTTTAGAGAGTTACTTTCAGAGTATACCTGCACTTTGAGATACTTCATTTGATCTAGAATACCATTAGTTTTAAAGGGCAGTTGACCTTACACTCCCCAAACTGTATTTCACCAGCTTTACCAGGCCATTTTGGATTGATGCTGAGGAGTGAACCACAATGGCCATTTCTCAACACTCAGTTGTATTACCGATTTTGAAAGCCCATTGGAACACACACTCAAAGACAGGCTTTTGGAATTGAACACAAAATGTCTAAGGTGCTTCACAGGAGGCACTCCCACCCAGCACTGAGGATCTACTCCATTTAAAGAGTTGCTCTAGAAAATACAACGGCTTCCAAAAAGCTTCATTGGCTATTAGAACATCCCTGCATTCAAATATGCTATTCTAAATATAACATGAAGCTAAAAGTCTGGCCACATGAACTTCTACTTCAGACAAAATAAATTATCAATAGCAACAACCTTCACACCTACCTACAAATTCCTCAATTTGGTCCCACGTAATCATGAGATTTTAAACTGTGATGGTAAAAGGGACTGTTTAAGCACCTTCAAGCTCTTAGTCAAAGCTCTCTCCAGAATTACAAGATCACTGTCGAAGTTGTATCTTTAGTCCCAAAAGCAACTTGACTTTGATATTATCATTAATACCATCTAAGTAGCTGCTAAATCTGCCACATTGGTTAACTACTGCTTCAGTGTGAACATCTCCTTTTCGCTAAAAGATGGCTGCTAGTTTTTAAACAAACAAACAAAACGTCTTTTCCTTTGCTTTCAATCAATAGCTTTGTATGAATTGTACATGTAAACGCAAAGTGACTGATTTTCAGCTCCATAAAGTGTCAAACTAAGCTGTATTCATTGATCTTGCTGAAGCTTAGACTAATGTGTGTCCAACTGTTTCAATGGAACATTGCAGCTAGTGAGGGTTCACATGATAAGGTACATCATTCAGCAAACATTTTCAAATAAATGTCATGAGAAGCAAGGGCCCAGGTAGTCACCAAGAATTAAGACATGAATCTCCATATGAAAATTATGTTCCTAATTTTTTGTTCAGTCTACTAAAAGCTGCTTAAGAGTTTAGTTATCAAATACAGTCAGTTCACCGGAGTTCTACATGATGCAGAATCCACAGATGGAGCGTAGAAAAAAAATGAACCTTGTTCAAAGGATTTAATTAAATTTGATCTCTTCCTGTAGTTTATTGGGCACGCCTCTGCCCTTGCCTACTGTTTTCAGAGCTCCCAGTGCAGTCTGTCTTAGTAAACACCCGTCTAGTGCTGCTACCCAAATTAACCATTGTCAGGAAACAAACTGTTTTTTAAATTCAAACACTTTGATCAGTGAATATTTAAAAGAATTGCCATGGCAGGTTACAAATGAAACTTCATGCAGTCAGAGTCTATTCACATATATACCCATTCTCGGGGGGGGGAGCAGAAAGCAAAGTTTGAGAAAGACTGATCTACTTACATCTGCTCATCAATTTCTCCAATCTGACGATCCAAACGTCCCTCCTCATCCTCTTCTGCCACTATTGCTTCTGAAATCTAAACCAGAAAAGCTGTGAATAAGTTAAGCCCCATTCGATCTTTTTTTCCAGTAAAAGAGCAGTACTGGAAACAAAAGCAAGAGATTAAAGTATGCTGTAACGGTCACAATCCTATGCAGATGTTCCCTCCTCCAAGAGGTACGTTAATGGGACATACAGGAAAAGTCTTTGTGACTTGTGCTAAAGTTCAGTGAAAAGGACAGAACAAAATGCTACACCAAATCCCTAAGCAGTCTAGCTCCTTCTCCTTTTGAATTTAGTTCAATATTAAATATTGTTTTGAAACAGAATATAAAACCAAATAATCCATCAAAAGGCTTAAGATGCAACAGAACATATACACCGACATTTGGTGTTTACCAATTATGTACAGTAAGCCTGTTAGAAGTATTAACTATACCCACTTGATTCCAATGTATTTCTAACCTGTTATTTTTTTCAGCATATACTTTCTCAAATCTGAATGTCTGGGAGAGGCTATGCAACCAATGGTCCACGCATAACTGAGAAGATTCCTTCTTATGCTGAAGAATTGTTTGAATGGTTAATGTTAACAAAATGTATCCACTATTGGTTTTTGTATGAAAGTTTACTTTATCTATAGTACTGCTTTAACGAGTAACGATAAATTGTTCTGTACCAGTTTTCTTAGCAGTTATTTATGATCAATAATTTTCAATTCAAGAATTTAAAAACATTAAAAGGCATCAAGTGAGAATACCAAGTATCTACCACGATGTCCTGTACAGTGTACATCGGCGAGGTATAAAATCTGACTCTGATACAAGGTTTCATGCAGTAAGTAGTAAGAAATTAGGATACAGAAAAACTGGGGCCAATCAGGATGTGTTCTGTGTAAATTCCGCTAAAATATTCCCAACTTTAGGGGTGTTTTTTGTCAAGTTTAAATTCACCACAAAACAAACACTCTTGTAGCTTTTACAAGGGTTAACATGTTTAGAGAGAGAGGTGTAATTTTCAGATTTTAAAATTAAATGTTTCTATAGGCAACTTTTCTGAAGCAGCAGCTAGGAATATGGTCCATTGCCTGCAGATGGGAAACTGTCAAGGTGTGCCTGCTATCTCACTTAGATCCAGCCTAGCGTATTTAATTAGAGATGTTTGTCATCAAACGCGCTTTCCACTTAACTTTTCCTTGAGTGTAAAATGCAGGGACCTTTCGCTCAACTGTAAAGTGTGTTTAACTGCACATTACATTGTGACAAGCAGTCAACAAATACAGTATGTCACTCACTCTGCCAAGCTGCATGAATGGCTGTTTTTCCAATTATGTATCGTATTTAGAAGCAATAAAGATAGATTCCATCACTTACTGTGTTGACTTGTCGCATCGCCTTCTGAAATTCATCCCACTCTTTGTCCATCTGATCCTTCGGAGCATCAACCTTTCGCACCTAGTGAATGTGAAAAACCAAACTTCTTTAGCAACTGCCTAATGATTCTCGCTGGTATTCTAAAACCAATAGGACAAACAAAACATATATTCTGCTTTTTACTAAGAAAGTTTTGACAGCAAGTAAATGCTTTGGCTCTAATAATGCATATAAACAAACAGCCATCTTTCATGATTTTGGAGAAAAGAATCTGATTCTAGACCTAAATGGAAAACAACTGCCTGTACAAAATGTATGATTACAATATTGAGGGAAAGCAGCTGACCACGAATGGATGGCACAAGATATTTGGGATGCTGAAAGCAACCTGGCCTATCTGGTAATATGATAGCCTCTATTTTTGACTGTTTTCAATGTCCAGTTACCATTGCATGGTATTATAGTTTGTGAATCACCATCTGTCCAATAGTATACAGCAGCACAACCCAGTCTTAGTGGTTTTTGAGATATCTGCCTTTAAAATCACAATTTTTATTACCATCTTGACTGTTGCCCCTATACTTCAATTTAGTGGCTAGTATAAGAACTGTTAGTGCTGTCTGCCACTAATACCTCTAATCCAATCTTTCCAATGATACCGAACATTAACTACTGACTCTAGAAATGGTGGGAATATTGTCTGCAAAAATAATGCTGGAACTAAAGTGGGATGAAGAAACAGGATCTGCCTCCACTTGGGAGAAAAGGTGTGTAGTGTCTGCTGGGAGATTAGCTCTTCCTATACAAGGGAGTGCACAGGCTTGGGGTCCGCACGGAGGGCACGAGGAATGTAGGTGATCAGAGCCATGCCTTGCGCTTGTAGCACAGCATCCTGGCAAATGAACCAAATAATCAAAGACTGTAACAGAAACGCCCAAAACTCACAATTAGTTCTCTCACCAGAGGTTGTGACATGAATCGTGTAATTGATGACTAATAATGTCTGGGTCACCATTCTTTACTCTATGATACTTTAGGATGAGTAATGGAGTTAAGAGGAACTAAACAGTTTGAATAAAATAACTTGTGGAGCCTCCTTTCTACCTTAGCTTTCTTTTCCTTTTATCCATTCCTGTCTTTTGCCAGTATGGCAATCCTTATCATGTAAAATGGCCAGTCATTTACATGCTTTGTTCTTGATTGATTAGACAATATGCAACAGTATGAAATAAGTCAAATTATTAACTGAAGAGTTTGAAAGCAAACTACATACTGGGAGATAAAACACTTCCATCATTCCATATTTCTGTTTTGTGGTTATTCCTATCATGGTTACATGTATTGTATTGTTGTTACGTATTGTGGTTTTACCTTTTGTAAGTCATGACTATTTGTATTTCTTATAATAAACTTAAACATTAACAAGACAGAATTATTTTTCCTTGAAGTGTGTATCTGATCAAACATTTAAGTGCATTAGTAACTCCTGATATTAATACCAGATTTCAAAGAGCTGTTTTTTAAACACAAAACCAGAGAAAATTGCAAAAACAGGCAGCATCTCTGAACATTTTGTCTGCGATTCCTGCCTAGAACCACTGTAACAGAGTCTGAGATTACAGCGCCACCAATGTGGTGGTACTCCTCCTCTCCATATGAGCTAAACTGGAAGGAGTTGATTAGCAAGAGCTTTGTGCCACTAGCAGCGAACAAATAAAGCAACAGTTCCTTTCAATGCCTACATGCTTGTGAATTGTGTTAAGAACCTGGGTCAAAGAGAGACCACTAACTAGCACTGCCTATGCATTGGCAGACCTTCCTGCCTGAAGACTGTCCCTGGCTCACAGCATCCATCACCTGCAGGACTCTCCCCTCTTTCACTTGCACATCACTCGAATCACAGCTCTAGACACCACTATCAACAGCCCCAACCCCTAGCACCACATCTACACCAGCAACACAAAGGATTCGTTTTCAAATAAATGGTTATTTTAAGTTTCCCCCAAGTATGGATCAAACTTCTAAGCACTCTACAGATTATACTATGTACATTATTCTGGTGCAGACAACATGAAACTCTTAATCATCTTCTGGCTCCTGCAGGGCTCATGTAGAGTGGCAGGAAAAATATCACTGATGCTAGTGCTACTGCAGGTAACAGCATACATGTAAGTTTTGAGATACCAGTGTTCAGTCCTAGTATCCAGGCTAACATCTCAGGCACCAAGCATGGTTACTGCCATTCTAGCAGCAAGCTCTCTAATTACTTTTCTGCAGTAGAGCAATTCATCACTTACAAAAAATACATTACCCTTCTCAACTATATTCTTCAAAATTAAGTATCCCCATTTCTGGGTGCGTGAAGAAAGCTATTATGCATGCCACATGCAAGCATACCTAGAGGCATGGCCAATGCTGAAAGCATCCCACCAGAGAAAATAAAATAGGTACAGGCTGATAAAGATAAGAGTGGGACTGAGGAGGGATACAAAAAATTAAACAAGAGGCTGCTTTCTAACAGCATTCATTATTGAGGTGTTATATTAATAGTTCTTCTCCTGCACATACAAGCATGTAATAAGGAGACACTAAAAACATCTACGGAATCATCTTACACTAAGACAGAAGGTGGCTGCAAGTATTTGCTTTATAAACCATGTGGTAAAATCATTAACACACCAAGAATGTTCATAATTCTCAGGCATGTTCAATACAGAGACATGTTCAATGAAAAGAAAAATAATTTTCCAGAAATTTTCCAGCCCATCACATGGTTTGCCAATTTGACAAAGCAATATTAGAGTGTGCAGATGTGCACAGCTATCAAATTTGCAGTCAATTTTACACACAAATGTAAAAATAGATTCTCTTGCATATCTTCCAAAAACCAAGATATGCTATTTTCACGAGTGAATACAAAATAAGGGCATCACTTGGTATACAAGATGTTGCAAATTTAGATCCAGAACAAAATTTCAACTTTTTATGGTGATTTTGGCCCCAAACCTCTCATGACCCCTCTCCCTCAGCCAAAAAATGTTTTCTACTAGGGCAGCAAAAAGAAAGGGTGAGAACTAGCTTGCTGTTTGAGTGGGCTAGTATTGTACATCACACAGCAATCTACTTACATCTTCACTCCTAACATCTAGCAGACATGTTAGCCTCAATAAAACTTCCTTTAAATCATGAGAAAGCTGAATTGCAAATAACTGAAAAGAATAAACTCAGTCTGAAAGGATGCTCAGACCCCATGTATACTGTTAGCAATCTTCCCTTCCATGTCCTTAAATTAATATACATTGAATCATTGAATTGTAGGACTGGAAGGGACCTCAAGAGGTCCTCTAGTCCAGTTCAGGACTAAGTATTATCTAGACCATCCCTGACAGGTGTTTGCCTAACCTGCTCTGAAAAATCTCCAATGATGAAGACTCCACAACCTCCCTAGGCAATTTATTCCAGTGCTTAACCACCCTGACAGGAAGTTTTTCCTAATGTCCAAACTAAACCTCCCTTGCTGCAGTTTAAGCCCATTGTGCTTCTTGTTCTATCCTCAGAAGTTAAGAAGAACAATTCTTCTCCCACCTCCTTGTAATAACCTTTTATGTACTTGAAAACTGTTATGTCCCCTCCAGTCTTCTCTTTTCCAGACTAAACAAACCCAGTTTTTTCAATCTTCCCTCATAGGTCGTGTTTTCTAGACCTTTAAATCATTGTTGTTGCTCTTGTCTGAACTTTCCCCAAATTTGGCCACGTCTTTCCTGAAATGTGGTGCCCAAAACTGGACATAATACTCCACCTGAGGCCTAATCAAAAGATGGAGTAGAGCGGAAGTATTACTCCTCGTGTCTTGCTTACAACTCCGCTGCTAATACATCCCAGAATGATGTTTGCTTTTTTTTGCAACAGTGTTACACTGTTCCCTCGTTTTTAGCTTGTAATCCATGATGAACCCCAGATCCCCTTCTGTAATACTCCTTCCTAGGCAGTCATTTCCCATTTTGTATGTGTGCAACTGATTGTTTCTTCCTAAGTGGAGTATTTTGCATTTGTCCTTATTGAATGTCATCCTATTTACTTCAGACGATTACTCCAGTTTGTCCAGATCTCCTTGAATCCTCCAAAGCAGTGGTTCTCATCCAGGGGTCTGGGGCCCCCTGGGGGGCCACAAGCAGGTTTCAGGGGGTCTGCCACTCAGGGCTGGTGATAGACTCGCCAGAGCCCAGGGCAGAAAGCTGAAGCCCCACCGTGTAGGACTGCAGCTCAGGGCCTCAAGCCCATCACCCAGGGCTTATGCCAAAGCCTGAGCAACTTAGCTTCACGGTGCCCTCTGCAGCATGGGGCCCCGGGAAATTGCCCTCCTTGCTACTCCCCTAACGCCGACCCTGGATTTTATATGCAGAAAACCAGTTGTTATGGCACAAGTGGGCTGTGGAGGTTTTTATAGCATGTTGGGGGGCCTCAGAAAGAAAAAGGTTGAGAACCCCTGCCCCAAAGCACTTGCAACCTCTCCCAGCTTGGTATCGTTCACAAACTTTATAAATGTACTCTCTCTGCCATTATCTAACTCACTGATGAAGATATTGAACAGAACCGGACCCAGAACTGATCCCTGCGGAACCCCTCCCCGATATGCCCTTCCAACTTGACTGTGAACTGCTGATAACTACTCTCTGGGAACGGTTTTCCAACCACTTATGCACCCACCTTATAGTAGCTCCATTTAGGTTGTAGTTATCTAGTTTGTTTATGAGAAGGTCATGCGAGACAGTATAAAAAGCCTTATTAGAGTCAAGATATACCACATCTATCGCTTCTCCCCTATCCGAAAGGCTTGTTACCCTCTCAAAGAAAGCTATTAGGTTGATTTGGCACCATTTGTTCTTGACAAATCAATGCTGACTGTTACTCATCACCTTATTATCTTCTAGGTGTTTGCAAATTGATTGCTTAATTATTTGCTCCATTATCTTTCCCGGTACTGAAGTTAAGCTGACTGGTCTGTAATTCCCCAAGTTGTCCTTATTTCCCTTTTTATAGATTGGCACTATATTTGCCCTTTTCCAGTCCTCTGGAATCTCTCCCATCTTCCATGACTTCTCGAAGATAATCACTAATGGCTCAGATATCGCCTCAATCAGCTCCTTGAATATTCTAGGAGGTATTTCATCAAACCCTGGTGACTTGAAGACATCTAACTTGTCTACGTAATTTTTAACTTGTTCTTTCCCTATTCTAGCCTCTGATCCTACCTCGCTTTCATTGGCATTCACTATGTTAGATGTCCAATCGCTATTAACCTCTTTGGTGAAAACTGGAAAAAAAAATTTCAGTTAGCACTTCTGCCATTTCCACATTTTCTGTTATTGTTTTTCCCCCCCTCATTGAGTAATGGGCCTACCCTGTCCTTTGTCTTCCTCTTGCATCTAATACTTTCACATACATCAACGCGAAACCATTTAATTTGTCATTCTCACTTATTTTGGACTGAAAGGTTCACCCACTACTCTGAGTATTACTAAGGGCTTGGCTACACTTGCAAGTTACAGCGCATTAAAGGAGCCCCGGGCACACTAGCTCACTACCCATCCACACTGGCAAGGCACGTACAGCGCTCTGACTCCACGGCTAGAGCGCTCCTGGTACTCCACCTCGGCGAGTAGAATAACGTTTGATGCGCCCCCGCTGGAGCGCCTCAGCGTGAATGAGGTGTTGCATTACTGCACTCTGATCAGCCTCCAGAAACGTCCCATAATCCCCTTAAGTCAAGTGGCCACTCTTGTCATTGTTTTGGATATGCCCTTTGAAAGCTCCATTTAACAGACAGCATGCTTATCTGCTCCGAGACAAAGCAACCATTACTGTGGAATGCTGTGTAAGAGAGAGAGAGGCGGGGGGGGGAGGAGGGGTCTGTTGCTGTCTGAACTTACAAGACGGCATGCTGACATGCTCTCAGCCCCCCAAAAACCCACTCTCTTCCCCCCCCCCCCACATACACAGAACACACTCCCTGTCACACTCCACCCCACCCCAATTGAAAAGCACATTGCAGCCACTTTCATGCTGGGATAGCTACCACAATGCAGTGCTCTCTGTGGCCATTGCAAGAGCGGCTAATGTGGTCACGCCAGTGCGCTGTCAGCTATCAGTGTGGACAGACTACAGCGCTTTCCCTACTGCGCTCTACGAAGTCTGGTTTAACTCAAAGCGCTCTACATCTGCAAGTGTAGCCATGCCCTAAGTCTGAAGAAAAATAAACAAAAGGATCTCTTACTCTTGCGTCCACCTCAGGATCATCAAAGAATCCCTCTGGTAAAGCTTCTGCAGTGTTTTCTTTCCTGAAGTGTTAAAATAACAGACAGTTATCTTGATCTAGTGCTTATTACTCTGATCTTTAATTCCACAGATAAAATGTCAAGAGCAAAGTCCAGTATATTTTTGATGAAGAACTAGAAATGTAAAAAAATGCATTTCTTCTCCACATGCAGCACCAGCTAGATGTTAATCTCAACAAAATTTGTTTCTACAGCTAAATCTTATCAAAACACACAAGGAGCTGAGTAGATAATAGGTTTGGGTCAATATTCCAGAACTCAGAGCTGGAAGTTAGGCTCCTAGGTGTTTTCAAAAGTAGTGAGCACCCAAATGCTTTCCCATCACTTTAGGTTCCTATTTTTGAAAATCTTTTGGAATGCTTAAAACAAGACAGCTTGCTGTAAGTGAGACGAATCTTCTAACTGTTCAAAGTGACAGACCTAAATATGGTCAAAGTTATGTATATTATCTGGAAGAGTGAAACTTATTTGCATTTCCTCTTAACATTTGATCTGATTAATTTACCTTTCCACTACCTTTTCTTGAACTTCCGCTTTCTGAATGGACCCTGAATGGGAGACTATGGGAGCAGCTGTCGTTTTGTTCTCAAAGAAATCTACAAGAAAAGACACGCACAACCTTATGTACAAAGGGACCTATGGTTCAAGCTTCTAAAGTTTTGACTAAAGAGGAATTTAAATTAGTACCATTTGTGTTAATCAAGAAACAAAACTAGCCAGTCAATACTCCACCGGGTGGCTCAAATAATTAGTATGTTGTACGCATTATTACATATTTTAATTCTACAAACATCACTGCAATGAAAGATAATTGCAACATAAAATTACTGGGATACTAGGAAAATATTGTATAATGACATACATTGGCAAGAATCTTTTTCACATGGGTAACTTTAGCACAGTCACCTGACAAAAATCATATTTCCATAAATATACCGGATAAGAAAATTAACAAGGAGAAAACCCCAAACAAAACATACCCATCAGTGCTATGTCAAATGTCTAATAATTATAAAATACCTACCAGCATAATTTACAATAAAATAGTCAACAATTTCTTCTTACTGAATTTTATATTTTACAATCCAAAGTTACCTGCTGGTAGAGCATTAGCTACTGTTTCTTGAGCTGTGGGTGGAATTTCAATTTTTTGCACACCGGGTAGTTTGCTAGTATTGTCTTTTTCTTCCTCTTCCTCCTCCTCATCATCATAATCTCCTGTCAGTAAACTGGGACCTGGACCCTTTGAAGGCAATGCTTTTGTATCTGCACGCTCTGCTTTATCAAAAAAATCTGTGGGTAGCCTAGGAAAGGACGCAAGATATAAATATTTGTACTTTAACAAAACCAGTTACAGAACAGTGTTTGAAATACAGTTACTTTGTGAACCCTAAGCATCTCCTACAGATAATGCAATATACTGAACAGCATGCCTGCTGGTGTAATATAAAATAACCGCCACCTAGAAACCAACATGTAATTGTTGTTTTCTTTTTAAGCTCACCAGATATGGTCAGGTCAGTGCTACAAACACATTTATTGTACTAATTCTGTATTAGAATCTGTAGAACAGAACAAAAGGGTTTTTAAAAAAAAAGATGTCCCACACCAAAAGTGTAACTGCCCTATCATGTTCCCTGAAGCTACATGGATTCAGATACCAGTTTCATATTCACAAAGCAATGTGCATATACTTTACATACAGGGAAGACAAGAAACTCATGATAAAGCAGTTCTATTAAAGTTACCTAAACCTTGGTAGCATAAAATTATAATAAACTGTTCTTTATTTTCCATACATATTACATCTCACCCATTTCCAATATCAAGAGTGAGACCCACATTTTCAAAGCTGGGTGTCTAAACTGGGCATCTAAATAAAAGGCTTGATTTTCAGAGGTACTGAGCACCCACACACTGAAGTCAGTAAGAGCTCAGCAGCTCTGAAAATTCAGATCACATATTTAGGCACCTAAATATGGATTTGAAACATAACTTTAGCATTCAAGGTAGAAAACGTTGGCCTTTGTGTTTTTAAGATGATAATGTAACATACAAAGGAAACAGGACCTTTTAAAAATAGCCACTGCAGTGACTGATATCACTACAAACGTGGGTGGCAGGTGAACTCTGGGCTTGGGGAGGCTAGGCAGCCTCCGGCCCTGCCTGCCCCTTCTGCCCGAGGCCCCGCCCACCAGAGCCCCTCCCCCTTAAACTCTGGGCTGCCCAAGTGCCCCCGGTCTCAGAGTGCCAGGCAGGTGGTGCCCCACCCTCCAGACCCAGAGCGCCGTCTGGGCAGGCGGCGCAGCCCCCCACCCTGCCGCAAAGAACAGGGCGGAGTCCCTGGCCACAGGCCAGCTCCCATTAGCCCCAGCCTGGGACCACAGGGAAAGAGCCCACCACAGCATAGCACCAGGAAGGAGGGGGCCTGAGGATGGAGCATGGGCAGGGCCACACAGGGCTGTTTGGAGAGGCTCAGCCTCCCCCGGCCTTTGATACCCGCCACCCATAACTACAAATTTTAAAGAAATACAAGTTCCACAACTGTGTAATTCTAAGAATAATTTCTGTGAGTACTCAGCATAAGATTGAGCAAACACTACCAGCAAAGTCCAGTCTCGCTCTGACAGATTGCCTATGGCACACCTACACTGCATTTTAAAACCCATGGCAGCAAGTCTGAGGGCCTGGGTCTACAGACTCAGACTCAGGAGGCTCAAGCTAAGGCACTAAAAAAAAAAAAGCAGTGTAGACACTGTGGCCCGGGCTGGAGCTCAGGCTCTGAAGTCCAGGAAGGGAGGTGAGCTCCAGCCTGAGCCTGAACATCTACATGGATGTTTAACAACACAGCACGAGCCTGACTCTGTAGACATGGCCTCAGACTTGCTACTACGGGTTTTAAAACGCAGTGTAGACATACCCCAAGAGGCTGTCTCAGTCGAGATGAGCTCAGTCTCTCTTCTTGAGCTTTTTCAGAAAAGCGACATTGACAACCAGGTTTGAGCTCTATAACGTTTGAAGGGTAAACTCCATTATCTCACAGGCAGTACTCGTCGCCTGATGAGGTTCAACGTATACTTATCTGATCCAAAACTTTCTATAGAGGGAAACATGTTAGAAAGAAACAGACATCAGTGTGGAAGCACAACACAATGTCCCATTTCATCATCTTTTTTTCATTTTCTCTCATGCTGCCTATCTTTTTACAACTCTTTCTTTCCCATGTGTTTTTTTTAGCTTGCTAACTTATACTGCACTTTGCTCATTTTGTAGCTTCCACTAAAGCTGGGTAAGTATCAGGGGGTAGCCGTGTTAGTCTGTATCCACAAAAACAACAAGGAGTCTGGTGGCACCTTAAAGACTAACAGATTTATTTGGGTTGGGTAAGTAACTGTCCATTTGCAATTAGGTAGGGCCAGACAGCATATTGTATGCTCTAGCAGCTAAGCACAATCAGAGCAAACAAGAGAAACATGTATTGTCAAGCTCCTACCTGGGACTGCATTCCTCTATGTCACCACAGGAGCAGGGCGCACAGCAGGCAGCTTTCAAGTATGTTTTCAGCAGGGTGTCATCTGCTGTCACATAGCTTTCCTCACCCTCAAATATTTCTCTCCTCACCCTCTACCCCCTGTGACGTTGTGCAGTCTATATGGTTTTATAAAAATATAAGTGAATATAATGTAACTGGGATAGTTTCGTGCAAAAGGTCTCTTGTAAGGTATCATTACAAAGTGCATAATCTACTGAGTATGATCATCTGATTTGTATAAATGTACCACTCTTGTATCTAAAACTAGAAATATAAAATGTAACTCTGAGGGCCTATTGTAATTATGTAGAGTGTGGGCCATTAAGGATGGTTTGGAATCTTGATGACTCCCATTGTCTGCAGATGGCTGTATTTACCTTTGAGTCTTCCTGTATATGTGTGTGCTGGCAAGTGAGTAATGAAGTCTTGCAGTGACATGTGATCGTGTCACCTGAACTGGAATCCATCTTTAACCTGGTGCTTTTCCAGTGAGGGGGGGTGGAAACCCAGAGGGACAAAGGATTCCCGCCTTATGCAAAAGATATATAAAGGGGTGGAAGAGAACAGAGAGGGAGAGGAGCCATCATGGAGAAACCCCTAGCTAACACCTAAGCTGGAACAAGGGCTGTACCAGGGGAAAGAATTGTGCCCAGGCCTGGAAGGTGTCCAGTCTGAGAAAAACTTACTGAAGCATCTCTGAGGGTGAGATTATCTGTATTTAGTTTGATTAGGCATAGATTTGCGCATTTTATTTTATTTTGCTTGTGACTTACTTTGTTCTGTCTGTTACTACTTTGAACCACTTAAATCCTACTGTCTGTATTTAATAAAATCACTTTTTATTTAGTAATTTACTCAGAGTATGTATTAATACCTGGGGGAGCAAACAACTGTGCATATCTCTCTATCTGTGTTATAGAGGGCGAACAACTTATGAGTTTGCCCTGCATAAGCTTTATGCAGGGTAAAACGGATTTATCTGGGTTTAGACCCCATTGGGAGTTGGGCATCTGAGTGCTAAAGACAAGCACACTCCTGTGAGCTGTTTTTGGGTAAACTTGCAGTTTTGGGACAAGTGATTCAGACCCTGAGTCTGTGTTGGAGCCAGACAGGAGTGGCTGGCTCAGCAAGACAGGGTGCTGGAGCCCTAAGCTGGCAGGGAAAACAGAAGCAGGGGTAGTCTTGGCACATCGGGTGGCAGCTCCCAAGGGGGTTTCTGTGATCCAACCCGTCACACCCCCAGATTAGAAAACAGCAATAGAATGACTAAAATGATTCTAAAATTTAACTAGAATTTTCTCTATAAAAACATAAAAAGATTAAGATTTGTGCTTTGAGCTCTTAGGGCAAGACTGTACATTCATCACTAAATATAGCCCTGTAATGACAGTAAGGGAATACTTGTTTTCTAACTGGTTCTGAGTCACTCCTGTGATTTTTATCTTGCTCACACAGCTGAAAAAGTTGCTGCTAAACTATGGGTCTGCGCCCATGTCAAGACTATATGAGGGAGGGGCTCATGGTGTCTACATCCTTACCCACAGCAGGTGCAGAGGTAGGGTAAAGGGAAAAAAACAAAAAGGACTAGCTGGCAAAAGGCTGCACAAATAGGTAAATGAAAGGATCTACTTACCCAGACGCAGAAGTCTGTGGCTGGTCATTTGAACCTGCAAAATAGTCAAGAGTCAATTATGACTGCTTTGCTGTTAAACAAAAGATGAGAAAAACAAAATAAAAATTTATAATGATGAGTAAGGCTAAATTTTTGTCACGGATATTTTTAGTTAATGTCACGGGCAATAGTGAAAAATTTATGGAAGCCCGTGACTTGTCCTTGACGTTTACTAAAAATACCCATGACAAAATGGATAGCCTGGGCAGCTGTGGGGGAGGGGAGGGACTGGAGACTCCAGGGTCTCTCTCTGCTGGCGGCTCCAAGCTGCAGGGGTCCCCCCTGCCTCCCGCGGCAGCCGGGAGCTCTGGGGATCCTCCCTGTTGCCCACCGTGGCTGAGAGTTGCTGGGGTCCCCCCCCTGCAGCAGCCAGAAGCTCCGGGGCTCCCTCTTGCCGCCCTTGGTGGCTAGGAACAGCGGGGCTCCCTCTTGCCACCTGCAGTGACCGGGAGCGGCGGGGCTCCCTCTTGCCAACGGATCCCCCCTGCTGTATACTCCAACAATCAGAAATCAGTATTATGTAATCTACTTTTCCACATAAAAATACCCAAATTGAAATATACACCTTATACAATGATTATTGCCCTACTAAATTCATGATCCATTCTGGTCAATTTCACAGTCATAGGATTTTAAAAATAGTCACTTTCAGGGGTTTAGATGTTTACATCTGAAATTTCAGGGTGCTGTGACCGTGGGGGTCCTGACCCAAAAGGGGGAGGGGGGTGTCAATGGGTTTGCCACCCTCACTTCTGTGCTGCCTTCAGAGCTGGGCTGGGCTTTGAAGGCAGCAGCCATGGAGTTCTGTGCAGCTGGGGGAGTCTCCCAGAGGTGGAACTGATCTTTCCCATGCTGCTGGGAGCCCTCCAGCTGGGGGCTCCTAGCTCCTAGTCCCAGCCCAGCTGGGGAGGGACAGGACTTCCTCTTCGCCTGCACAGCCGCTCTCAGAGCATCCAGTAACTGTGCCTTTCTTCATTCTGTCCCTGCGCCGAAAACACCTGTCCGTGCTTAGATACGGCTCTCTCTGCATTCATGGAATTTGTTGGACTTGTCAGACAGTGCCGAGCTAGCCTTGCAAGGTGGGGGATTCTGCCTTCCACTGAGTTCCAAAACTGTAGCACAGGCAAAGTACAGTCCACTTCTTTCGCAATCTTTTTGTAAGCAGGAATCTCCAGCCTACAATTCTTGTCAAAGCCAGGAATTGCATTAAGCAAGGTTAAATCCACCATCAACAGGTGCATTTGTGCAGGGTCAAAAATATGCAGTTTTTAGGAACCCTGCTGCAGGTTGTTGAAACTTTTGCGCGATTTTTGCTACACTGCTTGAGGGTTCCCCATAGCAGTAGTATTTTCTGAGCTTCTTTGTCATGCAAGAAAACACCTGCTGAGCACTGGCATTTAACTCAGTGTTATCAGAGTGATTTTCATTTGACTGTGCTTCAGCCCAGAACAGTACATCCATTACTTTGTTTTAAGCTCGGTGGATTGTGACATATCGAGATTCGAATCAAGTGATTAAGTCCATCAGTCCTGTGGCAATCTTGGCAATGAACTGAACTTCCTCATTCGGCTGTGCATTGTTTAGAAGAGTTGAAAGGTCTGTTAAAACCTGCGTTTTTGGTGTCAGTGTGAGCTCTTCTGAGATGAACTCTGAGTAGTACTTCAGGTGAGCTGAATGATATTGTACAGCCCAAAAGCAGGAATTCCAACAAGTAATTGCTGGCTTTGGGGGTAGTGCAATTGTTTGTTCCCCAATTTAAGTCATTTCGGTCATGTTTGCAATGTGCTGCCTGTATCAAAGTTTGCGGCTAGGGCAGCGTTTAATGATCTTTTTAATGTAGCTCACCAGTTTATCAACTTCACCAAACTCATCACCACAGCTCACTGACACGAGAAATTATATGTGCATTACATGTAATATGGACAGCTTTTGGCATTAGACCTTGGAGAACAGATTTGAAAGATTTCGTCATGTAAGTTGCATTGTCACTTATGAAAGCGGATACTTTGACAAAGTCTGCATCGTATTTTGAAATGGTTTTAATTACATCATAATGTAGTTAACAGCATCCAAGTAAACGTAGTCGACGAGCACTATTAGCTTTCCTGTCTGTATATCTTCGGCCTTCTCAGAAATAAAATCAAACAGACTGTGCAGTACATAGTTGTCTTGCTCACCAGTGGACTCATGAGAAATAATTGCAAAAGATTCACATGAATTAATTTGAGACTTCCTCTTCTCAAAATGTGCAGCAAAAACCTTTGGAAGGTAGTCCTGTTGTAGCTTATTTGCACTTGGTAAGCAACCGGAATTTTGTACGTCCCGTTGAATGAATTCACGCAGCTTTGGGTGATCAAGTTTTTCCAACGGTATATTAGCACTTGCAAATGCATCCACAAATTCCATTCTAAATAAATGATGGGTCTCAGAGCTCTCTGTCGAAACATTACAGCTTGTACAAAATAGTTTGTCACCATCGGCATGTAGAATTTGACTTCCAAACTCTTTCACACGATCCGCTGCAGTAACGATTATAGAGATTTTTTGATTTACTTTGGACACTCATTTTAAAGTAATTTCACTTGTCTTCCGGTAGGCTACCAATTGAGATCACTACATTAGAAAACCACCCCAATGCCCATATCTACCAATCAGTGAGTTGAGCCCTGACTTTTATTTGCTGCCCTGAAGCGTCAATCAAAAAAATCCTGTCAAGTTCTTGGCTTTTTTTTTTTTTTTTTTTTTATTGAAATAAGCTAATAATTGCATCTGAAAGGAGCACAATGACCCCTTCCCCCCACAGCTGCGGAGCGATGGGGGCAGTAAACAAGCAGGGGGAGGGGGCGGAACTTCCTGCAGCCAGGGGAAGTGCCTGAGAGCAGCCGTGCAAGGAAAGAGGAAGTCCCTTCCCTCCCCTGCCCAGCCGGGACTAGCAGCTAGAAGCTCCTAGCAGCATGGGAGAGATCAAATCAACCTCTTCAGAGGCCAGCTCGGAAGCTTTGCGGCTGCTGCCTTCATTCAGCCAGAGGAGGTTCCCAGAGGTGGGTCAGATCTCCCACCGTGAGCAGCCGTCCAGGGGAAGAGGAAGTCCCGTCACTCCCCAGCCTGGCTGAGACTACCAGCTAAGAGCCCCTTGCTGGGGCGCCCTCAGGAGTACGGAGGAGATCAGACTCACCTCTGGGAACCTCTACGGCAGCTGCCTTCAGAACCCAGCCCAGCTCTGAAGGCAGTGCAGAAGTGACATAAAGGAGAAAAGCCCAGCTCTGAAGGCACCAGCCACGGAGCTTCTTGCAGCCAGGTAGGTTCTCGGAGGTGGGTCTGATCTCTCCCTGAGCGCGTTCATGCAGGGGAAGAGGAATCTCTCCCCAGCCCCACTGGGACTAGCAATGTAGCCCGGTGCATGGTAGGAGCCCCTGGCTTGGACACCCCCAGCTCTGCCCCTCCCCCACCATAGCTAGATTTCATGGGGTAAATCTGATTTCACAGTCCTGATGCGTTTTTCATGGCCATGAATTTGGTAGGGCCCTAATCATGACATCATGTTGACAAGTTGAGTCAATATGATACTACTACAAATGTTACAGAAATGCGTATGTGCAAAGTCTCAACTCCTACACTCATGCAAAGCCATTTGCAGGATCTAGCCCTTATTCATCCCCCAGTCACAGTAAGGCCATTAGCTAGTATAACAAAGTGAAGGTTAAGAAAATTGCTTCTGTCAGAACAGTGGAAAATATATTACAGTTAGTATTTTTGGAAGTGTGGAAGTATAGCTTCGTTGATATCAAATTTCAAATCACATTTGTTTCCATCAAAACACATTTACCTTAATTTCATATATCTATAAATAAAATTAACATCAACAGAAAAGTCAGAGTCCCTGCCTTCTCCCCGTTCCATAAAGGAGAAAGTGTTGCAGTAGCCCTGTTGGTCCCAGGTTATGAGAGAGACAATGAACGTGATGTTTTATCTTTTATTCCCTAGACATGAAGAAGCTCTGTGTAGCTTGAAAGCTTGTACCTTCCACCAACAGAGGATGGTCCATAGAGAGATTCTCTCACCCACTTTGTCTCTCTCATAAAGGAGAAAAATATTCAAGACATAGAAAGTCAGATTACAGTTCAGCAGTACTGCAAATACTGAATAAATTTATTGCTTTACCTTTTGTTCTCTTTACTTCTTGGTTTTCTGTGTCAGAAACTTTTCTTTTGGCAGGATGGGATGATGATATGCTAATTGTAGGCCCAGGCACTGTCTGTTTAGCACCTTTTAACTCTGCAATTTTCTGTTTAAAAAAAAAAGTTTGAATCAGCAAATAAAATTCAAGAGACTCTCCTTTTCAAAACCTCAAAAATTACTCTGGCTTAAGACTTGTCTACACTTAAATCTATGCAGAGGCGCAACTGTAGCGCTTCAGTGAAAACGCTACCTACACCAACAGGAGGGGTTCTCCCGTCATCGTACGTAATCCACCTCCCTGAGGTGGTAGATAGGCTGAGGTTGATCTAGTGCTGTATACACCAGGGGTTACGTCAGTTTAACTACGTTATTCAGGGGCATCAATTTTTCACACCCCTGAGCGATGTAGTTATACCGACCTAATTTCCTATTTTCCACTTTGTTATACTTGTAGACCAGGCCTTAGAGTTTAAAGTTCAGAATATTTAGAAACCTTTATTTTAATAAGTTACAGAACACATTTTCACAACATGCACACCTCTGAAACACTGAAATTGACATAATCAAGCTTACAACAACTGAGGTAATGAAGGCAGTGGCTCTACAACCTTTCCAGACTACTGTACATACCCCTTCCACTAGTGTGACTGCATACCCCAAATTTCACTTCACTTAAAAACTACTTGCCTACAAAATCAGACATAAAAATACAAGTGTCACAGCACACTAGTACTGAAAAATCATTTAATTTCTCATTTTTACCTTATAATTATAAAATAAATCAGTTGGAATATAAATATAGCACTTACATTTCAGTGTATAATATAGACAGCAGTATAAACAAGTCATCGTCTATATGAAATTTTAGTTTGTACTGACTTCGCTAGTGCTTTTTACGTAGCTGGTTGTAAAACTAGGCAAATATCTAGATGAGTTGATGTACCCCCGGAAAACCTCTGTGTGCCCCCAGGGATACACGTATCCCTGGTTGAGAACTACTGATCTAAGGTGAAGTAAGGAATGAAAGGGCAGGTCGACATTAGAAGCACTACATCGGTGCAGCTACACCAACGCAGCTGTGCCGCTGTAGCGCATCTGGTGAAGACACTCTATGCCAATGGGAGAACGCTCTCCCATCAGCATAATTACTCAATCTCCATGAGAGGCGGAAGCTATGTTGGCGGGAGAGCATCTTCTGCTGACATAGCGCTGGTGTGAACAGTGCTTAGGTCGCTGTAACTTGCATCGCTTGGGGGTGTCTTTTTCACACCCCTAAATGATGTAAATTAGATCGATTTAAGCAGTAGTGTAGACCTGCCCAAAGCTACAGGTACTTCAATGGTTGTAGGTACTGTAATGCTATACAATAAATGCTAGGATTGGTGATATAATCACTTTTTAAAAAAATGAACAGGCATGATGGCTCACGAGATTGACAGTGGGGTCTTTCACCTTTAGATCATTGATTTAAACATGATCCAGGTCAGTATTGCCTAAAATTGCTATCATCTGATGGCCCTTTAGTGGCCTGCATGAAATGAGTGGACAGGTTCACTTCAGTTCCTAAAAGAGAAGTCCACATCACAAGTCACCATTACTGAACCCTATGGATAGGGTTGGAAAAATTTGAGTTTCAGATATCTGTCAGGGTCTGTACCAAAACAATGCATTACATTCTAAAACCTCAAGATAGCAATCACATCAGACTCAAAGCAATAATTTTTTTTTTAAATCTACACATCAGGATTGGGATTAAATTTAAAAAATAAAAGTATAAAAAATTATAAATGTTATTTTATCAAATGATATATTCCTGCATCTCTCTCTCTAATCTGTTCACATGCCATTATCTGTTAGTACATACCCTCTTAAAAATTGGAAATAAAATTGTTTTTCTGCCTTGATACAAGGAGTGCTTGAGGTCTAGATCTTTTTTAAAAACAACATTAGGTGGTAGTGAGATTATTTGCCAGTTGCAATGCATATATAGCATAATTTTCTTTTTATAAATGAGAATTATGCTATAATATAGCCACATGCTAGCTTCTAAGTAAAGAGTCCTTAACTTATTAACAGAGGTTCAAGAGACCTGAAGTTAGACCACTGCATTCTCCTTTGCAGTTATTACAAAAAATATTTGTAAATTCTATCCTGAGATAAAAAAAATAGAGGCTCAGCAAAAACAAAATAAACAAGAAGTAAAAGATCATCTCTTGACAGCAACAAGAACTCAGATACAGTGTTACTAGAATCATGGCTGTTCATGGGAAAGTCTGAATTTCAGATGCATGAAATTCATCCTCCAATTTCTTGCTCTTGCATATACCTAGTACGCAACAGGTGCACTTATTTTAGGATAGTCAACATACTCATGACTAGAGCTAGTGGTTTGTCATGTTAAGCTACGTGAAAAATCATGGTCTCATCTTGGGGAGGAAAAGGTAAAAGTAATCTATTAATGGTAAAAATAAAAAAAAATAAAGCCAGAAGTATTAACTGCGAAACAAGGGGAATTTAAAGAGTTTAAAATAATTTACTAACATTTAATTAATAGTTTAAAACCATCAGCACCTACAGTTCAGTGTCACAGCAGAGGTAGTGCTAGGAGAAGACAGGAGAAACCTGCAGCTATCTCTTAAGTGCTGCTTTTCTGCTCAGAAAAAGGCAGCAGAAGTGCACAGACACCATCAGCTATGTAAGTTTTCACTTAAAAAACCCCACACGATAGACAATAGATCACAGAATCCATGTCTCTCTGACAACCCAGTACTTTTAGTTTTAGATTTTTACCTTCCGATGCAACCCAGTTTCTCATGTGCCAGCTCAGTGAAATTTATTCAATCATGACTACTCAATATACACATGCATAAGTCCCCAAAAGTCACACAGTTATAGATATTCTGTTTAAAGAGATTAATCAAAGAATCCATAACTTCCATAAAGGCTTATTCATGATATCTGAAATACTTAGTTTAATCTCTGTATTTTCTATAAACAGTAGTAGCTGTTTTGATTGGTACAAGACAGACTCAATTTTTTTTAAATGCATTTATATCCAAGACCGAGCCTAAAGCCATCAATTATTAGCACTCCACCAATATAAGAGCCAGCTCCTTCCTTCACTTAAAAAAAAAAAAAAAAAAAAAGGAAAAAAAGGGGTGGGGGGTTAAACCACATGCTAGCTAACACAAAGTAATAAATACATGCTAAAATCCTAGTATTGACAAGGCAGCTTGTAGTTTTCACATGTGTTAGCGGGTCAAGATATCCATGAGGCACACCTGCTAACATAAGTGAAAAAAACAAGCTGTCTTGCCCACACTAGGATTTTACCACATTAGTCACTGTGTATTAGCTAACACATGGTTTAAAAAAAAAAAAAAAAGGCCCACCATTTTTCCTAATGTGAATGTACCTTGACAATACCCCTTACAAAATCAAGTACCTATCACCTGGGAGTTCAGCTAACTTGACACATACAGTTGTTAAACAGATGTTTACATTTTAAAATTACAGAAAATGTTTCCAAGGGTATGTCTACAATGCAAAAAAACCCTTGTGTCTGGCCCGGTGTCAGCTGACTCGGGCGTGTGGAGCCATAAAATTGCAGTATAGGTATTCGGGCTTGGGCTGCAGCTCGTACACCTACACTGGCTGAAGGACTATAAAATTGCAATCTCAAGTTAGCTGACATGGGCCACTTATTGAAGTGTAGCCATTACCCTAAATTACAAATAGAAACCTACTGACAATTTGCAAATAGATTCCATATATGGCCCTGTAAATGTCATAATAGTTATTAAACACCTGCATCCATGACTTGCCTTGATGGCTCACTCCCCCAAAAGATGGAGTGCCACTATCACTTCATCAATGCACAATCTTTTTTTAAATGGTACAAGTTCCCATCATCACACCTGCTATCTAATCTAGAATCTGTACAAGTTACTCAAACACAAAGATTACAAATTGTTCTCATAAATCTTGTTATATCTTCAAAGTCTTACCTCTTTGTGTTGTTTCCCTAGTATGTGTGTTTGCCACAAAAGTTCACCCTTAATCTGGGTGTTGCACAACGTACAGCTTAAGTGCCCTAAACGATTATATGTACATTTTGAAGTTAAGGAAATATTTCAAGATCACACATAACCTTCAAAATTATAATTCTGAAATTACAATTTGCAGACACTTTTAAAACACCATTTTCAAAGGCACGCTGAGGAAGTGAAACCCACAACGTAAGTATTCTTAAAAACATTCCATTACTATTACATTTCAGGGTTTTATCATGAAAGAAGTGTTTCAATTTATAAGGAAAACACTATATTTTGCTAGGCAGGAGTGCCCAGATTGTGTTACCACTGGTGTACCATCCATTCATTTCAAAACAATATTGTAAGATGGTACGTGAACCAATAAAGTTTAGGAGCCACTGTGTCATTGCAGGACGACTACTAGAACATGAAATGGTACAAGAGTAGATGTGTAATTTCAAAGTATTTGTGATGCATTCACGTAGACAAGATTTATAATTTACTATTTACAGCTTTCATTCTATATCATGATCCAATAGCACAGACCACTGCACTTGTGCAGAGCTGCCCTGATTTTAATGAGATTTCAGACGGGGCAAGTGCTTGTAGATGGTGATACAGGATTAGGGCTTATGACTAAAGAAATGTGAAACTGACTGGCAGCTTCACTGTCCCAGCTGGTGAAGGGCAAAGCATAAACAAACAGAACTGAAGGAGGTTTTCCCTCCTCGGGTGTAACAATCCCTTCAGATCTTCACCACGCTGCTAAGGAAACCAGCCCCTCGCACTGCGATTGTTCGCCGGTCGCTGTTCGCGGGGGAGGGCAGAGGCCGGTGGCTGGGGTCCCCTGGGCCGCACGACGGTTTTTGTGTTTCGGGCATGAGGGGAGCATCGCAAACTCGGGGCTTTCAGTGGGAACCCAGAGGGGTCCCGGCTTGTTCCCGACCCAGCGCGGGGCAGCCGGAGGCCTGGGGGAGGCCGGCGGCGGGACCCTAAGTTTGGGCGGGATCTTTGTTATTTTTATTAATAACCGGGGGGGGGGGGGGGGCAGCGGGGACCAACCCGGCACCGGCTGAGAGCGAGACACCGACCGGCAGCGCGGGCCCGGGCTCACGGGGGGCGAGACACACAGTCCCCGCGCCAGGCACCAGCCCCGGCGCTATTGCCGCGAGGCCGTTGAAGCTCCAGGGCAGCCCGGGGAGGGCCGGGAAAGGATATTTAGCGAACGGCGCCTCGATTCGCTTCTTCCCGGCGCTTTGTCGCTGCTTCTCCCGCATGAGCCGCCGCAGCTCGTCCTGCTGCACCAGCTTCCGCTCCGAGCCCGGCCCCGCCGCCATCTTGTCCCGGAAATACTTCAGCCGCCACTTCCGTTTTAGGAGCCGCTCAGCCCCGCCCCTTCCCCCTGTCAGGTCTCGCGTTAGGCGAAGGGGGCGAGGCCAGAACCTAGAGCGGGGCGGGAGCTCTGCCGAGGGGATCGACCCCCGTTCCAGCGAGGGGGCGGGGCTGTGTATAGGCCCCGCCCCTTCATTCAGCTTAGGCCTTGTCTACAGTGGCACTTTACAGGGCTGCAACTTGGTCGCTCAGGGGTGTGAAAAAACACCCCCTTGAGGGCTACAAGTTTCTGCGCTGTAAAGTGGCAGTGTAGACCGTGCACCAGCGCTGGGAGCCACTCACCTCGTGGGGGCGGGTTTTTTACAGCACTAGGAGAGCTAGTGAAGACATACCCTTAGCTACTTTGCACTAGATTTAGTGACTTTGTGGTTTCCCCAGTGAGAAAGTGTCAAAGTGACCAGTGACAAATGTAGCGACTTTCACTGTCCATTACAGTGACAGTCAGCGACAGAAGTCACCAATGTGTATAGTCACAACATCATTCACAAGTACGGTTCAGGGTGTGGGAGGGGGCTCCAGGTTGGGGCAGGGGTTGGGGGTGTGTGTGGGGGGGTGAGGGCTCTGGGGTGCAGGAGCTGACCAGAGCCGCCAGAGTGCCCAGTCAAAAACCGGACGCCTGGCAACCCTACCAAGCAGCTCAATAGTGTTAATAAAATCCATTCCATGCTCTTCGTACTCCATTCTTTTGCACACCAAGTCAATGTCATTACATCTCAATTAAGCATGTCCTCAGAAGGAATGGCATTCCAGGTCTTCTTAGGCTGAGATCACTATAATCTGCAGGCGAGGAAAAGAAGTTTGTGGAGGCTAATTCAGTACTTTGCTAAAGCCAGGCGCGCTTTGAGGGGGGAGCACATTAGCCAGGGCTTGGTTTTATCCAAATGTATTCTTTCTCACAGCTCCGTGGTAGGTAGCCCACCCTGTGATGTAGGGAAAGATGTCTAATGAAGAGGGCAGGGTGGGGGAGGCCTGCACAGATGGAAGATGGGGTGGGATGGGACAGGGCCATGTGCCCCAATGGGGCAGGGGTCACCGTATCTCCAGAGATTAAGCCCTTACTACAGGATCAAAGGTGGAGCTAGCTTGATTTCGGTTCCCCTTTACTCCTTCCCCTGGCTTGGCCTGGGGTGAGCTGCCCAGGTGTTTTCAGAAATCAAACCTTGGAAGCGGGTGGGAAGGGGTCCGGCTAGTGGATTTTTGTTTTTAAATCTACTTTCTTGGCTCCCTGCAGCACTGAGCTCAGGTCAGGTGACTGCCCTCTTCCCCCTGGTTCTGGGCGCTCCCTTTCACTAACCTGGTGGCTCAAATCCAGGATGGCAAGACAGGGAGGCGCAGCTGAAATTAACCAACTCCAGCCCACCTGGGCTGCAGTGTACAGAGTGCCCTTCCCAATGAGCAGAGGGCACTGGAATGCCACTTTTATGTTACGTTAACCTTACCATGTCTAATGCATATTCAGTAGGGGGTTCTCCCCTCTTCCTTATTTGTATTTCCTCCTCTTACCAATGTGAAGGTGTTTTTTTTCCCCTATAGGTTAATATATTTATGATTTCACCCCATCATATACATCAATTCGTTGCCATGGTACTCTTGTAGTTGGATGTTCTGTCCAAAACATTCCAGAAGCTGGTGTTAGTTCATGTTTCTATGGTTGGCTGATGTCACTATGGACAAAATTCCCTCTTACATTCTACTTCCAGTTCCCCAAAACTTATGGGTTACCTAAGTTTATCTCTGCCAAAGTTCATAGGCCTCAAGCCTCATGCTAACTGCTGAAGCCAATGTCTTACAGGATACAAGCCTGTAAGTTCCTTGCATTACTGCTGAATATAATAAAGCAGATAATGCAAAACAGAGAATATAATAGAGCTTATATAGAGGGCTACAACGTCTGAAGCTAAATGAGCACAAGATGGAGCTGTTGGTAAGCAGAAGGAAGGCTCTAGGAGAACTGGCTGGGGTTCTAGCAATTTCCTTTCAAGGGTAGGTCTACATTTGTGAAGGATAGGTTAGCTAGGGTAAGCCCAGTTACCAGCAGAGGCCAAGAATGCTTCTTTCTCATTTGAACTCAGGTAGAAGAGTATGTCCTCCTCTCTCCCATGTGGACTTTACTTAAATGTATGTGCCACCTCCACATTGTAGCCACCTCTGTTGGATCATCCTGAAGCATTGTCTAGGGCAGAACATTATTAGCAGAGGTCTTCTTGGTGAAAACATTAGATCCGTGTTCCATGTTTCACTGGCTTCATTTTTGCTTCTTCAGGCAACTCAAGGTGGTGACATTTGTATTCTGTATGGCTGTATATTGGATTGCCTGCTGGCCACCTCAAAGACTGTCTTTCTTCCCTACAGCTGAGCTCACCAAATTCTTTTCTGTTATGAAGCTGTAGATTAAGATTTTGGAAAGACCAAGGGAAGGGCATTCGTAGTGGTAGCTAGAAAAGTCACATTCCTTTACCTGTGCCTGTGCAAAGCCTCCCCCCCCCCCTTTTTTTTTAAACTCAGCATTTTGCCTGAGACTACATTAAAAAAAATGTTGTTTAAAGGAGTTAGGTTATAACATTGGTTGAGGCCATTGGCCTGTAATAGTCTGAAATTGTTTTGAATGCTCCCACTGAGAAGCCTAAGCTATGAGTATACATTTTTATAAATATCACTAGCTTTCTAGTAAAAGTCCCAGAGGTTACTCAGAAGACACTGGGCCTTAAATCTATCACGGTTTCCTCCTTCCACAAGTGTTGGGGTGGGGGAGGAAGAGGTGTTGGCAAGCTCTTGTCCATATCTTCCACACTTCATGCCAGCCTCATTAAGTGAAACATAATTCCTAATTACATACATCATTATTGGAAGATGTGTGCAGTATCAAATATCTACAAGTAGTACAATAAATTAATTACAGTAAATTCTCAATAACTTACCATAGAATGGTGCTATTGTATATTTAAGTACAGAGTCAATAGGGAGTGGATTAATCAGCAGGATTTCTGTACTATACACCAAAATGATCAGACAAGCAACATAGAAATTGATTGTATTTTCCATATTTTATTTTCCTTTTCCCCCTTCATTTACTGTAGCACAATAAGTTAAATAAAAATATCAACCCAAATTCTGTACTGTCACATGGGCCATTGCAAATTGGGAGTAACTCCAATGAAGTAAAAGGAATTATTCCAGATTTACACCACTGAGACTAACAGCAGAACTTGGGTCATAGAGAATACCACTAAAAGTTTGATATTTTAAGTTACTCAAACATTAAGAAGCAAGATGTTCCATAATTCTGAGGTTTTACAGCTCTAAGAATGTTAGTTTTGGTTTGCACCACATTGCAGCCAAAAGGGGACCTGAGGAAGGGAGTTAGGGGGTGAAGGTGTGGTTTTACTCCAACTTACAATACAAGTTGTCTTTTATGAAAGACATTAGAGGAAAGTTAGCTTGAAATGTGCAAATAGTTACAAAGTAATACAGCAATTGAGGGAGGTGTTGAGAAAAATGAGGCTAATGAAAAAGCAAAGAACATGTTTGTCTTTTATTGAGATGGCAGGGGGTGAAAAAGTGCTGTGTTTTGTTTTTAAGATCAGAAGGAAAAATGGATTCAATAACTGAATGGGAAGTGTGCTTATCCCATATAATTAACAAAACAGTACTGCTTAAATTTGATTTCTGAATCCATGTTTTAGCTTTCCAAATTTCCATTGATTTTAAAAATTCCCATTTTCTGCCCTCTCTTCCTCAGCAGTAGTCCACTGCACTTTTTTCTAATATTGAAAATGATTTTTTTGCCAAAGATTGAGGCCATGATTGTGGAAAAACCAGATATGAATCTTTCATATTTCGGAAACTACTATTAGTCAGTCAATCCATACTAAAAATCCTTGGGGAAAACTTTTTACATGCAAAGTCATTCATTTTCCCAAATGAATTAACTCATTTTTCGATTTCGTTATCAAAATAAATTTTCAGTGCATAAAATATTGGCAAAAAAGATACAAATACCCATGTTCTTTTGAATTATACCAGCAGAAATGACATTTTAAGAAGCAATCTTAATAGGTTTCATTTTTATTACATTAACTGAAAGCCTTTGCGTATTATAGCGGAACTGTGATGACCACTCATAAATACCACAAAGATCGCACTGTTTTTTCCCAGGATAAAGAACTACTAAGGAGCAGCAGTTATATCTAACCTGCCCTGCCCAGCTCTGCTCACAGAGAAGAGGGAAAACCTTCTATGCTACACACGCTCCTGAAAGTTTACTAAATGTAAAACATGTTTATGTTTAGAGCAGGTGAGGACTAATTCCTCACTTGATAAGAGGCTGATCCTGCACTCATTGAATTCAGTGGGAGTTTAGCCATTGGATTAAATGGAGCAGGATCTAGCCCAGAACCAGTATTTGCTGCACTGAACCGGGACATCACTGGAATGGATATAACTCTGCTCCTCTCAATAGTACTGCAGTCCCAGGCAAACATATCACGACCATAGTGCTAGGCACTGAAAGCTGGCATCACATTCCTAACCACAAATATAATTACTTCCTATCTTAAAAACAGCTCTTTCTAAAAATTTGTAATGAGAAACAAAATAAATTCATTTTAAGCCAAGAGCTTGTTTGTCAAGTTTCAGCCTACTGCAGACTTTTACAGACCCTGACAATTGCGTGTAATACTGAAAACTATTACAACTTTAAAGGAATACTGCAATTTAACAGAAAAGTGCAATTTACCTGAAAATATGGTCACTTCATCTAGTTATATTTGGTATAATATAACATCTAATTTTTTAAAACTTTCTTTACAACAAACACTACTAATTTTTAAAAAGAAACAGAGCTACCATATTGCCCATCTGATAACAGATTGTGACACTCTGGAAGTTCTACTCTGATTATGACTGCAGGAGAAATGTTGGAGGACTGTGACTATTTTGAGGTCCATTATTTTATTAAGAATTATATAACTTTATTGAAATATGATCAACACTTACATTTTGCATTTTTTTTTTCTGGTAAAGAGAACTTAAACAACTATAAAAATACAAAGATTCTCATGCACTTATCTGGCAAGTGATCCAGAACACCCTTAACTTCCACAGAGTCTAATGTGAGTTGAGGGTGCTCGGCTGGCCACCAGAGCAAGTGCTTATTGATGAATTCTTTCCTAGTAGAAGTAGCAGTGAAATGGCAGCTCTCATTATGGAGATGCTAACAATGGCAGGACATTTTTAAACATCTGTTTTGAAATTTCACTTTGTAATACATATTATAGATTAATAAATATTCATCCACTAATTCTCAATTCTCTAGGGAATAGAAATTATCAATTGCAATTTTCTGTAAATTGCAGTAACTCAGTGAAACACATAGTCAAAAAATACTCTGATAAAATAGCTCCATTCTCAGAGCTTGATTGGATTGACCACTTCCTGTATAAACAGTTTGAATTATCCTGTTCCATTTCACACCATTACTCAAAGGGAGAGTATACCACAGAAAACAAATACATGCTATATACACAGTATATCAGAAATATGTATAACAAAAAAAAGTGCCAAGGCGTTCACTGAAATTTAAACACTAGTTAAATTAAGTACCATACATTTTACAGTACGTTCCATTTATCCAGACAGTTTAAGGCTAAAATAGTTACAACCTCCCCTGTAGTCAAGTTTTCCTATATTTATGAACACATACAAGTGTTAAATAGGTATAGATGTGTGATACTATTTATTGCTCTAAATGTTCTACTAGAATGCTAGATGCCCCAACTGTTGTATCAACCTGCCTTTTTCAGTCAAGTTAAAGTCCTACATCTGCAACCTATGTCACTTGTATGGTTTTCCAAACATGTCTTTTGAGCTGCAAATAATTTTGATGACATAATGGAAAATGTGAGAGTAGAGAAAAACAAACAAGTTAACAATAGTGTCCTTGTAAAACGAAACTAATGGTCCAAAGTTGCCCACCTCTCGGAATTGTATAATGTGCTATAGTATTTAGTTAACTAAAACATGCATAACCATCTACCACAAAAACATTTCTGTATTTCTTCAGGGAGGATTGTTTTCTTTTGAAAAGAACAGCTTTGAGTGAGTGGTAAATGTGACAACCAGCAAGTAATGATTGACTAGTACCAGTCTAAACAGACTGGGCTTTAAAAAAAAGAAGAAGAAGCTGAATATGTGCTCCAAAACAAAGAGCAAACTTTTCTTCTTGCTCACAGAGCAATTATTTCTCCTATTTATTGAGAGTGATGCCTCATTCTGCCAGTGCCAAGTTCTTTGATTGTAGCTTATCCATTTCTTGACCAATACTTCCTTCAACTGTGTCACACTGGGCAAGAAAACCCTGAAAATAAAAATCACAAACAAAAGTTAAATGTGAGTATTACGGTGGAGTGATAAACTATTTCCCCAAGAATACGATTTTTTTTTTAAATGACAATGCTCCCACCATGAAGTTGGAGGTAAAGACAACTCCACAGTTTCTTCTAGGTTCAGAAATGGCCACCACTTTTGTTAGAGCTTATCAAGTAAGTGAAGAGAAAATTCCCTTCATCCATTACCCAGTAGAAATCTAATACATCAGCTCAATGAGGACAGCAAAGTGCCACCAGACCAATAGTATTTAGCATCGCCAATCAGCAAGGGGTGGGGGTGGGGAAATAGGCTTGACTTATTAACCATAAATCCCCTTTCTTGTTTTCTCATGTACAGCTTAACATATCTCAGTACTTGGCACCAATACTGCAAAGAATTCCTGTCCACTGAAAGCTGTATCAAACCAAACTAAGCACCCTTCATTAAACCTACAAATCTTACATCTCCCAAATGCTCTAGGGCACTGGTTTTCAAACTGGGGAGTGGGGGATGGGACTTCGGCCAGTTAGGTGTCTGGGCCAGGGCAGGGCAGCAATGGGGACAGCATGCAGGGAGTATCCAACGGTGGTGGTAGGGAGTACTGGCATGCCTTGGCAGCAACCTACTGCTTTCCCCCCTGCTGCCCTACCCTGGCTCAGACAGCCTGTGGCAGCGAGATGCTCTGGGCAAGGGGGTGGAATACAAGCACTGGTCTGCTTCGCACTGCCTTGGGCTCCTCAGGGGATAGAGCCTGCCAGATCCCACTGCTGCCATAGGCATGAGCCCACCCATTCTCCTCATTGACTCACTTTCTGCCCCTGATGGGCAGGAGTTGGCAGAGGCAGGGGAAGGAGACCATGTTTATGTGGCTTCTTTGGAGAAAGGGGGGCACAACAATAACACGAAAAAAGCACTTCGCGAACCTCTGCTCTGGGGCAAAATGAACCCCACGCCTCCAGCTGGGCAGCCATGTGCAGAAAGGGGATGAAGGGCTTCCTTCCCAACTCAAAGTAGTAGTTCGTTATCACCCTAAAAATTCCAGTAAGGGATACCCCAACCAGTGTATGATTCTCACCCATGACTGCGAACTCTCACATCTCAAATACCAACTGCATAGGATGTCTATTGATTGCCCATCAGAGAGCAGGTAAGAGCTGATGGTCCCTGTCACAGTTCACGACTAGAATCCCATGATTCTCTGCTCTGAGACTGGGTCTCTGGCTCCAGCCCCCTGTGTACCAACCATGACTGCTCAGCAGGCCCAGCTGGGCTTTACACCTGCAAGTCTTCCTTCAGGAGCTGTAACCAGTGGTTTGTACAATGACAAAGTACAAAGTATTGTTTAAGCTGAACAGCAGGGACACAGCAAAACAAGAGAAAAAAGACTGTAAAACAATCACTTCCTTTGTTTGCAGTGCTGTTGTAGCCTTCCTGGTCCCAGGATATTAGAGAGACAAGGTTGAGTCCTGAAGAAGAGCTGTGTAGCTCGAAAGCTTGTCTCACCAACAGAAATTGGTCCGATAAAAGATATTACCTTGCCCACCTTGTCTCTGTAAAACAATGAAGCAGTCTATACGCAAGTCTAGCTCTGGAAGGCCCAACTGCATCAGACTCCCTACGCAGCGCACGTCTATGGTCCAATCTACACTTAAAACTAAAGTCAACCTTGCCTAGAAAAATTTTATGCACTGAACAATGCAGTTAGGCCAACCTATCCCCCAGTGTAGACATGGCTAGTTCAATGGAAGGATTCTTCTATCAACCTTGCTACTGCTTCTCAGAGAGATGGATTCCTTGCATTAATGGAAAAGCCCCTTCCATGGATGTAAGATATTACAGCAGCTCAGCTGCAGCGCTGTAGCTGTGCTGCTTCAGTGCAGATGTACCCCATGTTAGCCTGCTCCTAGCAAACAGACCCTGTCAACAACTCCCTCCCAGCCACAAATGTCACTTTCCCCCCACCAGAAACCCTGTGTCTTAGGTTCCACTGTGTTTACAACTTGTGATTCCCCTTCACTTTTCTTGACAAACTGGTCCATTGAGCTGCAGGGGACAGGGTGTCAGTCAGAGGTGGGCAGTCCAAGCAAATGGGTCTAGTATTGTGCTTCAAATGGATAAGTGGGTGGTTATTTGAAGCTATTGTTCTCTTTCCTGCATACATACACCTCTACCCCGATATAACGCAACCCGATATAACACGAATTCGGATATAACGCGGTAAAGCAGCGCTTCGGGGAGGGGGGCGGGGCGCGGGGCTGCGCACTCCGGCGAATCAAAGAAAGTTCGATATAACGCGGTTTCACTTATAACACGGTAAGATTTTTTTGGCTCCCAGGGACAGCGTTATATCAGGGTAGAGGTGTACAACCAACACCTGCTTCAGTTAAGCCCTTGTAATCAAATGGCAAACCACATTACAGCAGCAAAACATGTAACTTTCATGAATTACATAGCAGCTGCACATCCCTTATGGTCCCCAAAGGCAGTCTTATATCCCCCACTATAGGTGAAGGGAGTTAACAGAGGGAGACTGGCAGCCTTAAAACTCACCTGTTCTAAAGAAATAGACTGCTATTACACCACAGAGAACCACTGTCCTGGTGGAAGATATAATCCTCCTCCTAGGACCCTCTTTGAGGCAGAGTTTCATATTTACCATTATTGTAATATAGCTATTTAAATACTGTAATGTAGCTGAATGCACACAATATAGCATGTATCACAGCATGTTAATTTTATGTATTTAAAACTTTAACAGGGTCAATCAGCACTTGGGTGCCTCACATCAATAAAGCTAGTTGCTAACAAATGCATTCTTCTATAAACTTTACAGAACTCCCTGTTATTAAATTAATGGACCACACAGGGTAACAGGTCAAATCAAACAGCTGCTGTCCATTTTATACTGCAAACTGAAACTCTTACACCACTGGGAGGATCAGGTGCCAGAGAGGTTTGTGGGCACCACTGAGAACACTACTATTCTAGTGGATGTGGAACATGGAAACTTGTCTGCCTTGTAGATAAAATCGGTAGTTCCCTTAGTTTCACTATATTTGTATCAGGCTTAATTGACTAATTTTAGCAATTAAAGTGGATACTTACTTTTTTAATGTTATATTATTTATATTACAGTAGCAATCAGACTCCAATAAAATTGGGAACCAATTGTGCTAGGCCTATATAAGCACATGGATAGTCCTGATCTCTGCTCGAGAGCCTACAACCTTAGGCCCTGATCCTGCAACTCGAAGCACATGTGATATCCCTGTGCCTGCACAAAGCCCCACTGACTTCAGTGGGGCTCTGCATGAGCAATGGGGTATGTTTGCATGGAACAGCTTCCAGGATTGAGGCCTAAGTAAGAGCTTCCTCTATAAGATATAAAACTCTTTTCTTCATTTATCACATTTTATGAAGAGTGACCTGCCAGAAGTTTTTAATGCCATATACATAATGCATGCTGATTCATTAACAGAAGCTTTTAGTATTCCCACTTGCTGAATTGTAACTGCTCTAATTGCAGCGTTACCAGAGAAGCAGGTTGCTGGCTCAGATATGCCCCACAGAAGGCATGGTCTACTGCCCTTGCAGGTGGAGACCCTATATCAGCACTAGTAGGACTACAGAATATTTATTTATTTAGACAGAATTAAGTTTCCCTATCAGTTTGTTTCATCCAGCTGTTGTGTGCTAAGTTTTTACATTCTTTAGGGCCAGGACTGTCTTTTTAAGTCATGTCAGTACAATACCTATCAGAATGGGACTCCAATCTGCGATTGGTGCTACTGCAATACAATTAAAAACAGCAGCAGCATCACCGCCTACCTACGGATGCCATTCTCTCTTTTTCTGGAGGGGTTACGATTCTAGTATCAAGTAAGAGAACTCCACTATGTTTTCATATTGAAATAATAGTCATCTGGGAATAATTGTGTAAGCAACACACAATAGGAACAAAAAAAAGTATTTTACCCAGCATATTTCTTCTGTAACACAGATTTCATTCTTGAGATAAAGGTGCTCAGTTTATAGCAAAGTAAATATTATATAAAAGAACAAAACCACAAATATCCTAACTCTGTCACACACAAATTGATGGGGAACTCTGCCCCCTACCCTTTTTCACCTGTCTACCAAGGTGCTATTTTTATGACATACATTTCTGTCTGCAATTTCATTACTCCACCCCCTACAGATGCAGGAGAGTTAAAGTGAGAAGTGTTTTTCCTTGCTGGTACTCAAACAGATTCCACGTCATCATACAGCCATGGGCACTAACCACTAGCGTAATTTGTAAATATTTGACAACAACATAAACTATGTAACTCCATCCCTTTTTGTATCAGTTTATAAAATGTTGGTGTGTTACTGCTCTTAGAGAGGCTTGATAACCCATCCCTCCAAGAGATCAGCCAAAGCCTAAAAATCCAAGGGATCTCCTGCGATGTAACCCTGGGCCTTTTATTTTAGCAGATCAACTGCTGCTGTGCAAGTGCCCAACATTTATTTAATGCAAGACTCACCTGAACTTTTTTCACCAACCCCTTCTTTTTCAGTTTGCAATCACTGAAATTCTCTGGCAGATTCTGCAGTAAATAAATGAACAATTTGATATTGGTTCATCTTGAAGTCAATGTACAAAACATAAGGAAAAAGTTGTACATAATATATAAAGCATTCGGTTACACAGTGGAATCCTTTTAACAGGCATGCACGTCTACTTAAACTGGGATTCAAAGGAATCCATTTCCAAAAGTCTAAATAACGAAGGTTCAGTGGCACAGTTAGTCCATTTAAAGCTACATGCCTGGTCTTCTCTGAAGCTTATTTACAGGAATTAATGAATGTAAATTGGTGTTTTCTGGCGTAAGTTTCCTGTTGGGCATCCCTTTGTTCATTTATATTGCTTCAGCTTCCCTGCTCATGACATTTGCTACATTAGTTGAGTTTGTGTGTTTGTTTTAACAAGTTTTAAATGCTTTGTACTTTTGAGGTGGGCCATTAAACAGGGCTTTTATTGACAATAATGTGGTACAGTTTTGGACAAAGTTAAGTAACAGGAAAAACTGATACAGCTGTAGGTAAATAACAATCACATATATAGTTATAAGAAGATAGGACCTGAGTCTGAGATGTGCTAAGCAACCAGGCCTCCCCTTTGGACCTGCAGGTGCTTAGCCTTTCTGGATAGTAGGCCACAAGAAGAGGGGAGGAACAATCCTTTCTTTTATCCCTAGCCTAATGGGCAATCTCTTAAACTGTGTTTTCATTTACTATAGGAGTTGAAAAATATACCAGAGACCTACAAGCCAGAGGCCATTATAAAAAAGTTGGGTTGGGGCACCAGTGAAGTCTAGGGTTAACTCTTGGGTCAGGGACTGTGCCTTCTTTTGTCTTAGTGCAGTGCTTAGCACGCTATGAATGTTACTAGAAACAACAACACCCAGACTCCACACATATATCCCTGCAGGGAGAGAGGAGGGCTGTGCTCCTGGGATCCATTCTGAGGTTCCTTCCTTAGCATCAGCCTCTTGCTCAATACATGTCTGAAATTTGAAATCCCCTTCACTCCCACTCCCCCTGGCTGGTGGAGGGGTAAGGAGTTCTCTTTCCCACATATCACCCTAAGACAGTGGTCCCCAACGTGGTGCCCACGGGCGCCATGGCGCCCGCCGGGGCATCTATGTGCACCCGCGTACTGGCCGGCAGACAAGCATCTGCCGAAATGCAGCCGAGAAGCGGCAACGTCAAGAGGCGCCGACGCCGAAATGCCGCTGATTTTCGGCGGCATTTCGGCGGCGACGCCTCTTGATGACACTGCTTCTCGGCGGCATTTCGGCGGCGATGCCTCTTGACGTTGCCGCTTCTCAGCGGCATTTCGGCAGATACTTGTCCACCGGCCACGGTCCTCGGTGGCTTGTCGTCCAGTGCCCGCCAGACGAAAAAGGTCCGGGACCACTGCCCTAAAAGATCCCTAACTGTTTAAGTGGAAGTTGTTTCTGCTACTACTTCCTAGTCTTCAGACTTGGGGGTGGGGGGCTTCAACCCCTTTAGCTTCAATAACTGCTCAGGCTTTCCCAATCTGCAGTAGTGTAAAGCTGATATAATTCTTGTCAATTTTCAGTGCTGCCCACAGGGCTCGGAATAGCATCAATGTTAATGTTAATTTCTCTCAGATGGTAAGGAAAACTATGAGCAGTAGCAGAGGCACCAGAGAGGTCTATCTGCAGACTCAGGAAGACAGCACTGCAGCAGTTCACATTTGGAAAGTCCCTTTGCAACCATCAGGATAGACACTTTTTTTTGTTAAACGAAAGCGTAAATTGTTTAGAAACTGATGATCACCACTACCAGCACCAAACAGAATTTCTCCTACTTGCCTCTAAAAAGTTAATTTTTTCAAGTCCTGTCATAACACAATCCATAAATCCTTCATATCTCCCTCCTTCAACGCCTAATATGGAGTGATAAACCATACAATTGTTAGAAAACATATGCATTCATTCCATGAAGCTACTGGTTCCAAGTGTCTAATCTCTCTCACTATAATGTACCTTACATCTAATCGGTTGGTTTTATTTGCCTAACATGGCCTCAGTTCCTTCAGATTTACAGCACAGGGCAGATTCAGGAGCAACTCTACCAGTAATCGAAGAGTTTCCACATAATCATACAGCCATGGGCACCAACCACTAGCGTAATTTGTAAATATTTGACAACATAAACTATGTAACTCCATCCAAGAAGCAATTCTTGGAGGTCAAACACATATTCAACCAATCAACCAAGAGCCACATTATGACATGGCAACCCACTGTATGTCCACCTTCCAACGTTTGACTTTTCAAATGCTTATCATTTTAGGTGTCACACCAATCTTTTGTAATAGCTAATGTGTAAGTTTTATTCACCAAGATTTTCTTTTAAAGCAATTAATGACATATTCCGCAGTACAATGTATTGCAATGAGCCCTTATTCATTGCAACTCCCTTAACGTGCATCTTTCTATTCCAATGAGGCAGGCTTATTAAGGGGAGTCTACTTTATGGTTTTCTTTCACAAACTGTATGTATTGAGGACATTATGAAACAATGAAAAAAAAATTAAAACTCCAACATGTTCAAACACCAATGCTAAAACCAAAAATAAATACCAACAAAATAACTGTTAAATAAAAAACAAAGCCTTTGGAATAAATTATGTAACTGCCACTTAGAGTCGTTGAAGTTATCTTTTTATTATAAAAAATTCAGAGCAAAGTTTTCTAGTGGATTTATTTTGTGGCAGGAAATTTTGCAACTCTACTGAAAGAGAGCGCATGCACTCTTCCATCAGATTTTCTATAATGAAATACCATTTTAGTAATAAAAATACCATACCTAGTGAGGGTAGGAAAGAGGCATGAGTCAGGGTGTTCAGTACCAAACCAATTTTATCCCCAAATTACTACAACTTATAATCTGGAGAAACGGAGATCAGGTAAAACTAATTATTAATTGTTTCTCAAATTCAGGGATGTGATCCTACTATTTGACACAGAGGTTCTTACTGTGCCCCGGGGATGCCATGACTTAGACAAGCAAAATAATTTAAAGATTTTAATAATTTTACAAATTTGCAAAGAAAAAGAAAAATAGGAAATAAGACAACATGTTAGTTCCTTTACAAGGTCTTCTTGTGTCTGAAGACTGGCAGAGAGCTTCCAATACAGATCACATTTTCTACAAGAGGGAGACCTTTTTTTTGCCCAGGGAAGTGTTTTTTACAGTCTGAAAATTATTCTCAAAAGTAATTATCTATAATAATTAGAACAGACTTGACAGTTTATTGATGGTGAAGGAAAGTTTGTTTAAAGGTAGCTGATTCCTGTTTGGTTTATCATTGATAAATTAAAACAGGAATTAGCAAAATGTCCATTTATAAAACTATGAATTTTGGTAACTGGAGGAGAACTTTAAATCAATTAAAGGAGCCACTCAGAGAGCATACGTTTAAAGTCTTAGGCCCCAGTTCTGTAACTGCATCCACACAGACAAATCCTTGTGCTTGTACAAAGGCCCACTGATATCTCAACAGGGTTCCATGCAGGAGTGAAATTAGAGCTCTTTGTGTCATAACTCACCAACTTGCTTAAAGAAAGGTTTTCAGGTAGATTAATGAAGAGTAAGAATTGTAAATTGAAATTAAATCCCAGAGTCTCTCTGTTTTACCTTAGTCAGTTTACGTCTCCTCTCCAGGAATACGTTGTCCAACTATTCAGGGTTTAACAGATGAAGCTGGTATTAAACCTTAAGTCACAATAACATTTCAATATTTAATTAAAATCAAGCTTAATAGTAAAGTTAACCTAACCCTAGTCAGTGCTTATGCAAGACTCTCTCACCAAGTGAACTTTGAGCTTTGGTGGTGGCATTTCTTGCAGAGCAGTGCTGGGCTAAAAAATGCTTTCTACTGCATGATTTATTCCAATACTGTGCAGTGAGCTTCTTCTGTGTGTTCTGTTGTTTCTTTGTCTCCATCTCATTTTCCTCTCTTCTCCTAAACTGCATTAATCTCAGCAATTTATTCCCTTTTGTTCTTCAGAGGTCCTGGTCCCAATAATAATCTCAACAATCTTTTCACAGACTTCAATAGGCAATGGATCAGGTCCAGAGTTCAATGCAAGTGGAGAACACACCTCTTAGAGTTGGGTTGGATTCAGAGAGCAGGGTTTATATCAGTTCATGCAGGTGTAGTCAGTTAATACATATTTACTAATTGCTGGTCAAATTTATATTCATGACTATCTGTCTTGGGAGTGACAGGTCTTGGAATCATGTGGAAATGTTATTTTTATGTTTTTCTTACAATTTCATTCTCTAAATTAGCATTTCTGTTCCTCAAATGCTTAAAAAGAACTTGAAAAGCTTGTAAATGAATATAAGCATAGTTGATCTATAATAAAGAATTTTTGCTACTTAAATATAATACCTTTAAGGTTTATAGTATTGAAGTGTGTGGCTTCTTCTTTAACAATCCCTCCATAGTCTTATTGTACCATTAAGTTTGGTGAGTAAGTTGCATAAGCACACCACATCGTTAAATCCCAATTTTAATAATGATGCAGATATTTTAGCAGCTTCTTAAATACTAAACAAAGAAAATAATAATAATCAACTATAGTATAAATAGGGAGATTTTTGAAGGCACAAATGGCAGGTAGGTGCCCAGCTCCCATTTAGCCTACCTGCTATTTGTACTTTTGAAACTCTCCCCCCAAATCTTTGGTTTTATGTTTATTATTCACATTAAGACACCAAGGAATGCTTACAAAGTAAATATTTGCAATTAAGAAAAATAAGAAATTTACAAAGCTTCAGAAATAAACTTGCATCATTCTAAGCACTGAGGGACAAAACAAGGTTTCACCTTGACATGAAATGTCTGTGCTTCTAGTAAATTGTAATACATCTAACAAATGTTTCCTAACTGTAATATTAAATATCTTTTTTTAACCTTTGGTGTATTTGCCAAAGTAATCAGTATTTAATATGAACATATCTGGAATTTGTATCAAGTGAGAAGTGCAGCATGGGTTAAAAATCAAGGGGAGGGAGGAAAGACTCATTTTTGTTACCTTAAAGCAGATAAATATGGTGCTTGCTACATATAAATCACACTCTTTCCCCTAACTTGGTATTTTCTTGATCAAATCCATTTCTTTTAAGAGTGTAAATTTGCTTTAATATTTTCTGTCTTCTTAAGATAAGAACTGTGTCTTCACTATAGCTGGTATGTCCACCCTGGAGAAAAATGTCTTCCATGCATCTTACATGAACCATTTTCAGGGGAGACATTTCTGTTTAGTTTGCCTTTTAAACAGGTCAAGGACATCAGTAACCAATTATGAATTTGCAATTAAATTTCATAGCAAAGGTGGGTAAGATATAGGATTGCATATATCACTTAAAACTCATGACAGGTGAAATTAGGCTAACTGCTCCTTGCGGCAGGGGCTACCTTTTTGTTTAGTTTATACTGCGTTTAAAAAAAATGGGGTCCTAGTTCATGGCTGGGACTCGTTAGGCACTACTGCAATACAAATAATGAACAACAACAACAAGGATGTAAATTGTAATTGATCACTTTTTTCTTTACAACTGATCATTTTAACTTTGACTACTTCACCTTCACAGTAGGCAGAAGTCTTCAAAAACAGACACTTCAATACTTCCTATAAATCACCAACTTTGTAAAACTGCTAAAATCTTATAGCCCTAACTGAAGCTGAAAGCTCCCTGTCTGACATGCTGTACATAATATTTTGTATCAGAGACAAGGGAAGTTTTCTACTTTGGCCATGACGTGAGAATGAATTTCCAAAGTAGTAGCTAAAAGTAGTTTTTGCAAAGAGCAGAAGAAGGTATTTTGCTGACTACTCAGAAGTTCGAAGGACAGACTGAATGCATTCCATGTGGTCACATTTTATTTTAGTTATTGAACTCTCACTGAAATTAGGGACCCATACTAGAAACCTTTGTTCTCTGACATTAGTTTTGCCAATCCAGGATGTAAATTCTTAGCCAGGTAGCAGGCTAAAAAAATGGAAGGTAGCTTTTTTGTTTGGCTTTGGCATTTACTGTGTAACTCTAGTTCTTTTATATTAAAATATGAAAGTTGGGGATTAGATGGCTCAAGATATAGTCATTCATTCACCTCTAAATCAGATTAAAATCCAATCCAGGCTAGCAGTGAACAAAAATTGACACAGTCTGACAGCTGTTCCATGTCCTACATGAATTAAATTTGTGATTTCAGCCTTGTTCCTAAAGCACAAGTGTCATCAGGACAAATGACATCCTTGATGGCAATCTCAGAAGAAGCTACAGTTTGACTGGTTTTGGAGAGTAACTACCTTTACACTCCTTGGTCTGGCCATTGCAGGGAAGGCTTGAAATGCTGTGCTTAGACTGAAGTGATGAAAGGTGTCAGGAAGATTATTTAACATATCAACTATTTTTGAAAGAAAGCATACAGAGACAAAGAAATGGTGTAAATTGAGTTTGAACTAAAAACTGTTGATTAGGGGACAGAATTAGTACAGCAATAGACCAAAATCTACTTAAAACAGAAGTCAGTGTCTATATATAGACCATCAGAAATATGCTTTGATGGGACAATGTTGCCAATTTACTGGACAAGCACTTGGCAACTTACTTAGCATGGCAGTGAGCTATGAACACGGCACAAAAGCATGACAGCAGCAATATCAACTCATTGACCAACTTAATTACAGTCATTGTCATCATCGCCACTAGATACTGAGACCCAGGGGATGCGAAATCTGCCACCTAAAACTGATTCCCTGTTTTACCAAACAAGGATATTAGATATCATTTGAGAGATTGTCAAGCAAGGTTTTTCCCCTGTGAAAGATTCTACACTTAAAAGAAATAAAAGGGATAAAGGAATCTGTAAAAAATGAAGATTTGTTTTTTAAGTTTTAAATGTTTTAGCTGTTACAGAAAGAAATTAGTGAATAATAACGTTAAAATCATTTTGTGATGTACTACAAATTAAACTATGCCCTTGGTAACAAAACCTCAACATTTACATTTCTGTTAAAGTTGTGGCAGTACAAAAGCAATAAATAAGGTCACCTAAAAATCAGTTTCCTAAAAATCCTATTCACTCCTCACAACAGACACACGCTGGCAGAGTTTGGGTGGGGGCCAAATTAAAGCACCTCTTTAAAGTGGATTCTCTTTCCCAGGCTTTACACCAGCAACTCATTATTACAAAGAGACTAAGGCCCTGATCCTGCAATTGGATCAACACAGGCAGAGAACCCTAGACTCATGTGGAGCCCTGGTGAAATGGATGGGGCTCTGTGCGAGTGTAAGAGCCCACCCTGTGCAAATTCATCTGCTGGATTCGGGCCTAAGGAATTACTATTGCAAAACACACTATAGGTGACAATAGGTATGGTATGCAGTACAGTTATATGAGGGAAAGGAACTCTTTCAGATAGCATGATCCAGTGGATAGGGTACTGGACTGGGACTTAAGAGACCTGTGTTCAATTCTCAGCTCAGCCACAGTATAGCCCTGGACACGTCACTTAGTCTAGCCTGTATTTCACTTCCCCATCTGTAAGGGCGAAGGTATACTACTTCCTACCTTACAGGGGTGCTGTGAGGATAAAATCAATAATGGCTGGGTGACACTCAGATACTACAGCAATGAGGGATATGCAAGTACCTTGATATATTCCAAAGAAATCAGTCCAGTCCTCAGTTTGCAAATGTCTTAAATACAAAAATTATAAATCCATGTTTGACTAACCAGAAGGCTCACCATTGTTTGTGCCTTCCCTACCACCAAAACAAGCATTACAAGGAGAGTGTCTTCCTGGTTTTTGTCGGACCCTTAATGTTACTGTAACATATTTTAATTTAACAGGCTTTGGCAGTACAAATGAAAAAGGGTAAAACTTGAGTAAAGAATATCCATTTCATGTGGACATAACAGGCTGCAGCCCAATATGATGCTCTTCTGTAATATGGGGATGCATACATAGGCATTAGTGTCACCATTTAGAAATCGGAGCTGCCATGGACACCAAAATGAAGAGATCACTGAAGACATACAGGAAAAAGAACTGGATATTGAAGAAAAAGGGAGCAAACCAATTAACTTATTTTTCAAAAAAAAAAACAAAATTAATTTTTTGTTAGTATTTAAAAATATCATACCAGAGAACAAACTGTTCTTTAAAAAAGGCAACAAACCAAAAGCTTGTTTTAAGGAATATACAACCCCTTTGTATGACTATTTACTCACAATGGCATCTATCTGTTCCAGGATCTTCATGAACTGCTCAGCAGTTCCTTTTATCCTCTTGTCCAGGTGGTTAAGAGCTTCAGCTTGAAGATCTTTTGCTAGAAAGCCCTGTATGAAAAGAAAAACAATTATTTTATATTCCAAAGAACATACATGCTGCTATTTAAATATGAATTAAATAAATTCTGGTGCAAAAATTTTCATTTAGATGTTTGAATGATTTTATCATTAGAGGGAAAAAAAAGCTTTCAATTTAAGGAGAGTAACCCTTTTTAAAATAAAAGGGAAAGTAGAAGGCCCAAAATGCAGGCTACCTTTCATTCTCCCTTATACCCCTTTCAAACATTAATGTAGTTCTATATATGTCCTCCCAAATAAACATCACACATCAAAACAAGTGAATCAATATAATGACCGTAAACTTTAACAACAGCATAGCTACCACAGCTTTTATGAAGCAGTGGTCTGGCCAAATATTAGTTTGGTTATTAATTTTTTCCCCATGCAGTGCAGGAAGCCACCTGATTCCCAGAATTGTTGACAGAAATCATGCAACTAAATCCACACACCACTTTGACAATTAACTCATTAGTGTTCTCATTATTTTGCCAACTTTTGCCCAAAGTACAGGAATATGGCCCTACCAAATGTCATGGGTTTGAAAATTGGTCAATTTCACATTTCAGCTGTTTACATCTGAAAGTTCACAGTGTTGTAACTATGGAGGTCCCAACCCAGCAGGGGGAGACACTCAGAGGTGGGTCTGATCTCCCCACACCCCACACCTTGCCCCCCACGCTGCCATGCAAGAGAAGGACAAGTTCTGTCCCTCCGCAGCTGGCAGGGACTTGCAGTTAAAACCACCCCAGCTGGGGCGCTCCCAGCAGCAAGGGGGAGATCAGATTTCACGGGGAAGAGTTTATTTTATGCTCTGTGACACATTTTTCATGGCCGTGAAATTGGTATGGCTGTATACATGAGCCACGAGTTAAAGATATTTTAGAAATCCCCAGAACTTTTTTGTAAGATTCCTGAAGATTCCTGTGTCTATCTTTGTCTTTGTAGCAGGATCCGACTTCTACTATGTGCTTGTACAGTTCCTAGCACAATAGGTCCCCAAACTCAGTTAGGGTCTGTAGGACTTTTACAATAAAAATAACCTGATGCCACTACTTAAAAACATTGCAATTAATTTCAACAAAAATTAGGACCACTTAATAACCACTTTCCTTAAAATCCTGAAAAATCTGAATGGCAGACTTCCTGGTTTCTGTGCCAGTGAATGACATCACAAGCAGCTTAAACAGATGTCAGAAAGAATCAATCATTTCTGCATCTATATTTTCATTCCGTCTCTTCATGGTACTTGTGATATCACTCAGTGGCAAAGGAATCAGAAAAACTGCTTTGAACGGAAAACATTACAGAAGAGCTAAGTATTATTATGGCTCATATATCTCTGGATCTAAAGGACATAATTTGCTTAAAATACAGTACTAATTACTTTTTCCAGTAGCTACATATTTTTCCCTCTTTTGGAAACACAGAAATAAGTTTAACATTTAGAAAAACTTCTGTAGGTCACCTGTGGAGCTAAGAGGTGAAAAACCAAAACATCACTGAAAAGACAAACCACATTACATGGTAGTTGTTTCTGAAGTAAGGAGAGTATACTATACAAATATATGAGGTGTAAGGATAAGAAAATAATTTACCTTTTGGATGCCTGTGAACTCTTTATTAATTTCCTCCAATTTGTTAGCAATTTGTTCCACTGACTTCTCAAAATCTTTTAATTTCTTTAATTCTGCCTCTTCCTCTGGACTATTCTGTGTAGTTTTCAAAAAACGACAAAATAAAACATTTACCTTGAAATCAATCAGGTCACAAACCTATCTGAGTTAAATGATAATGGGATAACATTTAACATAAAAACTAATGCTTTCATCATCTCTTATTGTCATACATTCAGCATCATCAATTTGCCAACTTTCAGTATTCAATCAAATAAGCTCTCTCAGTTTATAATGCTCAATTATGAATATACTCACTATTGCAATGGATATATTGCACATAAAAAAAGACTAATGTGAAGGGAAAGACCAACCAAGGACCAAATAATTTATAGTTTTTATTAATATTATTGCCTCATAATAAAGCTTCACTTCCTTACTGTCAACAATTTTCCTGCCCGCTGCTGGTGACATCAGCAAAGCCAGCTGCCACTTCATTGTTAGGGATATGATTTTGTCATAGTAAAATTATGCATAATTCACAGCACAGACACCGTAAAAAATAGATAATTCATGCTGTGGTCATGGCATCCATGTGAACCATGCAGCCATGCATTACCAGTTCATTAGATCGCTTTGCTCTTGTCCTCTTAGAAACATGGCTAGATTAAAGCAAATTAACAAATGGTTAATGAGCAACTGCTAATCAAAGCAAACTAACAAGCTGTTAAAGTGCAGCAGCAGGGACCATATAAATGGAAAAATTCATGGGTTCCATGACACTGGTGACCACTGTGACATAATCATATCCCTATTCACTGTAAATGGTTGACAGCAGAGTCAATACCGACAGCTAGTTTTCTACACAACGTCCCTGAACAATAAGGGCAGAAAAGAGCAGAAATGCAGAAGAGATTCAGGAATGTTGGTAGGATGACAAACTAGGCAGGGACTCACCGTATGATTAGGGCCCTACCAAATTCACGGCCATGAAAAATGCATCACAGACAGTGAAATCTGGTTTTCCCGCATGAAATCTGGCTTTTTGTGTGCTTTCACACTATACAGATTAAACAGAGGAAACCAGCATTTCTCAAATTGGGGGTCCTCACCCAAAAGGGAGTTGCAGGGGCGTCGCAAGGTTATTTTAGGGGGGCTGTGGTATTGCCACCTTTACTTCTGCACTGCCTTCAGAGCTGGGTGGCCGGAGAGTGATGGCTGTTGGCCGGATGCCAAACTTTGAAGGCCGTGCCCCACCAGCAGCAACATAGAAGTAAGGGTGGTAATACCATACCATACCATCCTTACTTCTGCACTGCTGCCTTCAAAGCTGGGAGGCTGGAGAATGGCAACTGCTGACTGAGGGCCCAGCTCTGCAGGCAGCAGCACTGAAGTAAGGGTAGCAGTATTGCAACCCCCCCTCTACACACACACAAATGTTGCGACTGCCCCACAACTCCTTTTTGGGCCAGGACCCCTACAATTACCTCACCATGAAATTTCAGATTTAAATGGCTGAAATCATGAAATTTACTATTTTTTAAATCCTATGACCATGAAATTGACCAAAACGGACCATGCATTTGGTAGGGCCCTACATATGATGCACCTTCAAAAAATGAACAGGGTGCATAGAGTTATTAGTTGTAGGACAAGAGAATGAAGAACTGTGTGTACAGCCAGATGCACACACAGAGTGCACTCTTAAATAGGTAAGTACACAGTACACTTGTTTCACTTTCATTACACGGACACTCATTTTGAGCAGATTCACCATAAGCAGTGATTAAGCTCTTGAACAGGAATATCAACAGATATAAGGATAACAAAGGAAGGGTACGTCTTCACTACCCGCCGGATCGGCAGGTAGTAATCGATCTATCAGGGATCGATTTATCGCTTTTCGTTTAGATGCGATAAATCGATCCCCGAACGCGCTCCCCGTCAACTCTGGAACTCTACCAGAGCGAGAGGCGGAAGCGGAGTCAACGGGGGAGCCGCGGCCGTCGATCCCGCGCAGTGAGGACCTAAGGTAAATCGATCTAAGATACGTCGACTTCAGCTACGTTATTCTCGTAGCTGAAGTTGCGTATCTTAGATCGATTCCCCTCCCCCAGTGTAGACCAGCCCAAAGAGACGTCACGAGGTGACATATACCCTTTTCCCAATCAGCATGACTTTACAACCATTTTTAACTCCAAGTGCTGATAATGGCTGTTCCATTTCCTTCAGGGACTTTCCTAGGGAAAAAGGAAAATTATTCTTTTATTAATTACAAGCCATCTTAAAAACAAGAAGTAGTGCTTCTAACTTAGCTTTAGGGTATGAAATCCAAAATGCTTTGTTGTTTCATAAATGAATATTTAATACTGTGCAGTAAGTGCTTTTGAAATAAACTATTCATTTTGAATAAAAATTTCCAACATTTTAGCGTGTTTTTTTAAAGGAACTGAGTCAAATTGTGTACACGTCAAGCTGAATTAGATTAAAAGTACCATAGCAAATGAAGTAGAGAAAATATTTATTTTGTTTTCCAGGGATTTCCATTTACACTATCAAATTTACAAAATAAATATTCATTAAGCCTGTCATTTTTTGCCAGTGGTTATTTTTCAGTATTTTGGATGATCCATGTACCCACCCCTTCCCATGAGTCACACTGGCTCACAGCTGATGGACTTGGTAAAAAGACTGAAAGCAGCAGGAACAATTCTCGGGTTTCATTTTAAACTAGCAAGTATGAAACTGACTTTAACCCTGATTTCCTGGTAAAAGCCTACTCAAATAAAATCCAGACGTCTTATAATTAATTATGCTTCCATCCCATCTCATCCATCCATCTGTCAAAATACTGTAGAAAGGACTGACAAGAGACTTTAAAGTTATATGATTAATATAATGAATACTGAAGAGATACGTAAACTAATCCCCATCTGAATTAGAACTGGTATTTAATGTTAAATCTAGGATACCTGCGAGAAACATTTTTAAATATTAGCTACCTTTGCATATCAGTTTTTGAAAAGGAACTGGAACCCCAGTGACTTGTTCAATAAGCAGAGCCATGTCCTGTAGTGTTGGTTCACTGTCTTCCTGGTGAGAAGCAATCTGAACAGTATGTTTTTCATTACCTGAAAAAAAGACAACCCACAATTAAGTTTAACCTTAATTAGAAAACATGAGGCTGAATGAATCTAATATTTAATTTTCATAATCTTGAAAGGCAATGTTCACTGGAACCACAAATACCTGTCTACAGCCTTAACTTCATGAAGTTTTGTATAGGAATTTTCTCCATTTTTTTTAAATGACCATAGGCTGTGCAAGTGAGGAGCCCTGCTCCTGCTAACAGGAGGTCCACAGGAGGTGAGGTAAGGGGGGGGCAAGGAGCGTGCCTTTGTTCTACAGGCCAAAAGTCTCCAGCTAAATATTGTTATAATATAATATATGGAGATATACCTATCTCATAGAACTGGAAGGGACCTTGAAAGGTCATTGAGTCCAGCCCCCTGCCTTCACTAGCAGGACCAAGTATTGATTTTGCCCCAGATCCCTAAATGGCCCCCTCAAGGATTGAACTCACAACCCTGGGTTTAGCAGGCCAATGCTCAAACCACTGAGCTATCCCTCCCCCCAGCATTCTTCCTAGCCACCATCCCCCAGAAGACAGCCTTGATGGTTCAGACTTCCTAAGGTCTACAAAAAGGGAGTCATACCCATCAGAACCTCAGTAGTCTTTAGGATCATGGCTACTGTTCTTCAGATGTTAGGAGGAGCACAGGAATATAATCATAAATTCACTGTGAATGGGAGTAGGCTGCAGTGGAGAGAAGTGACTAGGTGAAATACCTCCTGGGTTAAAACTGGGACCATTGCTTGTCAATTTGTTTACTAATGACCTAAAGTACAACTATCCCTGTAGAGTCGCAACATTTACTGATGATTCTCAAATTGTTCATACCTTAAATGGTAGTTATCGTAAAAAAAAATTCAAATACTAGGAAATTAGATCTAGGCAATGCCTCGTGGATTTTAAGCTTGACAAATGCAAAGTGATGCATCAGGATTGAAAAATCAGAAGATAATTTATACACTATGTTGTATACCTTTTCTACTTTATCCCATCAGCTTCTCACTCCTATCTATGTGGCTTGTGTGCGCACACACCTTCATACATACCTTCTGTCACTCCCTCACATTAACTTTTACCAGGCACCTAACAGCCAGAGGACTAAATCTGATAGTCATAGTTAAGGCTACGATTTAGTCATGGGTATTTTTAGTGACCTGTCCATGACTTATACCATAAATATCCCTGACTAAATCTTAGCAGAGGGAGGGGGGGCACTGCTGGATGGGGGTGCCCCAGGGGGCCTGTGCTCAGGGGGCCCGCTGCTCAAGGGGGGCGCTCTGGGGCCAGTGGCATGAGCTGCCGGAGGCTGCCGAGTAGTAGCTGCTCCAACCACCCCCCCGCTGCTTCTATGGCCACCCTGGGACCACTGCCAGGGGCTGCTGAGCAGCGGCTGCTCCGGCCAGGACCACTGCTTAGGTGGTCTCCGGGGCCAACGGCATCAACTGCTGCTTGGGTGGTCCCTGGGGCCAGCTGCCCGGGACCACTCCAGCAGCAGCTGGTGTGGCTGGCTGCGGGGCCGCTTCAGCAATGTGGCTGTCCCTGGGGCCCCGAGCAGCCACACTGGCCGCTGCAGAAGTCACAGAGGTCTGGAAAGCCACAGAATCCCTGACTTCCGCGACCTCCGTGAAAGACACAAAGCCCTAGTCATAGTCCAGTGTGAAGTATGGGGGAGATCCCATTATCCAGGGGTAAAGCCCAGGTAAGAAGCCAACTCCCTACTTCCCAGCTGCTGGGAAAAGGAAGAGTGCTTGTCTGGAATTCCATCCTGGTGGCTCTGTCTTTTATATCAGTCTCTGTTTTCTTGTTTCATGCCTGCACCTCCTGGCTGTTGGGAGGGTAGGGAGTCTCTGTTTCGGCACCATTTCCTCAGTCTCCTGGCTGTTGTGAATAGGGTCTTTCCTACAGAATAGCTCTACTGCCAGCCTCTGCTGTTATCCCTCCCTAGCAGCACCAGAGTGAAATTATACGCAGCAGCTGAAGCACTAAAACTGTTGAGCTGCAGATGCGGACTGCATTCAGTTCTTGTTCAGAATGTTATCTTTGCATCCATAAGGGATGCGTAATTAAAAAAAAAGGAACCTTCAGTTCTGTAGAAGTTGGTGGCACGTGCCCACAAAAAAGCTCCCTAATCCCCAAGTGAATGGATTTTTCAAGCCTCTCATAAATAACTATCTGAATTAAGTTACAAGAGAAAAACAAGGACAAATGATGGTTTTTTTTGTTTGTTTTGGTATCTTTAGTTCTGGGCAGCTGAAATTAATAGAAGTTTCCCATTACTGCAGGAGTGTTGAATATTTTGAACTTTCTGCTCTTGGAGGCAGAAGAATCCACTGTGACAGAATTCTGAAGGAAAAGGGTCGGTTATTTGAATAATGTTATTTCAGGATATACGTGGGATTAAAAACCTAACCACAGTGACACTGACCTATCTGATTTGGTGTTAAAATGGAATTTCTCTCTAGAAAATAGTCACAGAGAAACAGGGTGTTTAATATCTTTGAATTTCTTACAAGCAGGATGCGTAGCATCACCTATTAATAAGATTACCTGACACTTCCCATTATAAAAGACCCTTTATTCAGTTGCTTATAACTTTGCCACACTTTAACCATTTGGGCTGAAGTTTTCCATGCCAAATGTCTGCTTCAGGATGAGGAATTTTTTTTTTTTTTTTTAATTTTAACCAGAACAGTTCAGCCACTTCTGAGGTGAGGCTAGGAAAAAAAAATACATTGTTTTGTCCATCTCTTAAAAATATGGCGACCTCTTTAGAGCAGGAACTTGAAAGCTGGCAGGGGATGGCCTTTGTGGTAGGGATGCGTCTTTTGTAAATCCACCCACATTTTGCCAATTTATAACCCTCTGAAAAATCATAACTCGCACGGACTCAGTAGACTTATTGATTTTAGCAGCTGAACTCTCTGAAGATTCCATCTGCAGTGAGCATGCTCCAGCTCCGGGCTGATCAGGACTTTCTCTGCAGCTGCAGCTCTGGACTGTTGTGCCAGGTCCAGGTCCAGGTCCCTGATCTGAGAGCAGGGAGCCCCTGTATCTTGTGCTCTCAATAACCCCTCTGTGGGGCCCAGGCAATGGGGAGAAGAAAGCTGCCTGATTCAAATAGATAGGGAACAAGAGCCAGACCAATGGGATATGTGTGTGGCAGGGGAATAGATTGGGACAAAGAGCCTGAGGGGGTCAGGCAGAAACTGGGACTGGAGGATGGGGACTGTAGGGGTTAGAAGGAAGAGGGAAACATGGAAGACATGGGTCTGTCTGTAACTGGAAGCTGGGGGCACAAAGACTAGGACTGCAACTAGCTGGGCAACGAGACTGGGACTGGGACCCTGTCATAAATATAAATGGAAGGGTAACAACCTTCCTGTATACAGTACTATAAAATCCCTCCTGGCCAGAGGCACAAAATCCTTTTACCTGTAAAGGGTTAAGAAGCTCGGGTAACCTAGCTGGCACCTGACCAAAAGGACCAATAAGGGGACAAGATACTTTCAAATCTGGGGGGACCAGGGGGGGCTTTGTTTTTCTGTTCTCTGTCGGTCTGTTCTGTGTGCTTGCCGGAGACAGATCAAGAAAGCAAGCAATCCAACTCCATTAGGATTAGTAAGTACTAGCAAGGTAATGCGTTAGCTTACTTTTATTTTGGCTTGTGATTTTCTCTGTGCTGAGAGGGAGCTGTATTCCTGGTTTTCTTTTTGTAACTTTAAAGTTTTGCCCAGAGGGAAATCCTCTGTGTTTTGAATCTGACTGCCCTGTGAGATTATCTTCCACTCTAATTTACAGAGGTGCTTCTTTTAACTTTTTTCTTTCTAATAAAGTTCTATTTTTTTTTTAAATCGGATTGTTTTTTTGTAGTGGTCTAAAAAAACCCAAGGTTGGTTTGTGCTCATCTTGTTTATTCTCAAACCTCCCCAGGAAAGGGGGTGTAGGGCTTGGGGGAATATTAGGGGAAAGTAGGAACTCCAAGTGGTCCTTTCCCTGAGTTTTGTCTAATCACTTGGTGTTGGCAGCGTTACCTAATCCAAGGTACAAGGGAGAATTTGTGCCTTGGGGAGTTTTTAACCTAAGCTGGTAGAAATAAGCTTAGGGGGTCTTTCATGCGGGTCCCCACGTCTGTACCCCAGAGTTCAGAGTGGGGAGGGAACCCTGACATGGTGGCAGAGCGGTGGGATCATTTTGAACCAGAGATCATTTTGAATCAGAAGCACAAACCTCAGGATTTTTTTCTTCTTCTTTTAGCTGCTTGGGGAAAGCAGGAGCTGAGAACAGCTGGAATTTGTTTTTCCTTTGTTCTCTCTTTGCCTGGAGGCAAAGGTGTTAGGTTTTTTTTTTAACAAAGGTGTTAGCTACAGCCAGGAAATTCACAAGCTGTTTTTTTCCCCCCCCTTTTCTTTCTTACTCTCCGGATTAGCTAGGAGGACAGAAAGTGACGTCCAGAAAAAAACTGGAATTAGCCTGATTTGAGGATGAAGAGAAACAAAAAGAACATGATAGACAGATGGCCAGAGAAGAAGCTGCTCACAAGAGGGCTATGGAGGCCCAGAAGCATGAACTGGAGTTAGAGAGGATAAGGGCTAAGCAGAATATACCAGACAACCCTAGCAATCCTTCTCCAGGTACCACTTTCCAACCCAGAAAGTTCCCCACCTACAAGGGAGGCGATGATACAGAGGCCTTCTTAGAAAATTT